GCTAGCCGTTATAAAAGCACGCATAAGTTTTATAAGAGGCTCAAAAAAAGGATAGCTCTGAGGATATAAGTCGAAAAGCAATGACGTTATTGGATTTTTAGAATTGTTCTCTCAATTGCACCCATTAGAACGATCCATTTAATATAGTTTGTTTGAACTAACCGTGGAAAATTCCTAGTACTGACTCATTTTGATTTTCTCAAACCTATAGAAGATTCCGAAATTTCCCTTTTCTATTGTTCTTCCCTTTCTTGAAATTTTTAAACTTGGATTATTGTCGATGAAAATAGTAGAATGTCTATAGATTTTGATCGATTTGTTGTCTGAAATGGAGTATTTAGATTGATCACTTCCTATTTTCATTTCTTCATAGCAGTTTTATCAGCGTCATATTGCGATGAAAATCTTGATAGCTTATCCCAAATGATGTTTAGATCATCTTTTACTGCCGCATTATTTTAAGCTTTTCCACTGTTCCCAGTGGGAAATAACGAATTTTTCTCAGTTTCATACCACGACAAAGGTGTAATGTTTCTGTTATATTTCGTAAACTATTAAACTTGTTTCTTTTTTGCTTCTTCAAATTCGCTTTTTATCTCAAAATATCTGTGCATTTATTTTTTGCTATTTTTAAAAATTGTGATTGTTCAAAACTGTGTTTCGCCTTGGTGAAAATTATTTAATTATTTAATATGCTGTTTTCTAATATATTTAGAAATATTCTTATTTTGGCCAATCTTCTTCCATTCTAGAAATCACATATAGTGAAGTAACGTTAGGATAACAATAAAGACTGTTTATTGTTATATTCCATGCTGAAAGCGATTCAATTTTTTGCTGATTCAAATTTTTGAAAATTTGAGGTTATTAGAATATAAGAACAGTTCTAGACAAAAGGTGATAATACTGCTTTTCTTCTAAAAAAGTTTATAACGACCAAATCTAAATTTTTGTGCTAGAACTTAAATCGATTTCCATTTTTTTAAAATCTCTTTAAAAAAGTGTCGAGAAGCCTTATAATAAATACAAATTAGCCAAATTGCCAAGTAATCTCTCTGCATGTAAAGAATGCAGTTTCCATAGTTCCATTCATAATTATTTTTCAAATAAAAATGCAGTTTCCATAATTCCATTCCATTTGCTTTTCAAATAAAAAGAGCAATTTTTAATTATTGATAGAAATTCTTTCTGGACCTAAATCAAAAGAAAATTTGCAAATCCACGTAAACAATTAATTCTGCAACATAATGATAGTGGTCACGATAATCACCTCTGATATGGATATTGCAAATGTATTTAATTAATATTTTCCTAATGTATTTGTTGATGCTATTATTCATACTTCTTGTTTTAATGTTAATCGAATTTGTTGTAATTCTCTCGGTGAGATTGAAACAACGCTCCTGGATGTTTATGATGCCTTAAATAGACTTAAGCCGTCCATTTCAGCTAATCCCGATAATATTCCACAAATGATTTATAAAAAATGTGCAGTTTCTCTGAGTCTTCCCCTTAATTTATAAGGACATTATGAAATCTGACATTAACCCCAAAATTTGGAAATTATCTCATATAATTCCTATTCATAAAAAAGGAAGCATCTATGATCCTTCTAATTATAGACCTATTAGCCTAACATGCGTTGGTAGCAAGGTACTCGAAAGGTTGATTTGCATCAAATTGCTTACTTATCTTGATGCCAATAATTTCATATCTCCTACCAGCATGGCTCTTGTGCAAAAAAATCTACTCCTTCATAAATACTGACTAATGTTTCCGATTGGTCAGCATCAATTGACAATGGGAAAACAGTTAATTGTGTACCTAAATTTGGCTAAAGATTTTGATATTGTTTCTCATAGCAAATTATTGATCACTCTTAATAGTTATGGTATTACAAGGGCCCTTTATAGCTAGGTTAAATTTGACATTCCCCAAGGTAATAATATTGCGCTATTGCTTTTTCTATTATACATAAACGATATCACCAATGTGCCACTAAATTCTACCATTTATCTTTATGCTGATGATTGTAAAATTATTTATTATTCTCATGATAGAACAAGCCTGTCTCCACTGCATGAGGAGAAGACCTCAGCAGAAATAGCCAACTGGTTATATGACATGCAAATTACTGTTTCTTTTCACAAAAAAGAGTAGCGTTCTTCATATTAATTCTAAAGGTTTCGATTTTCCTAATCGTTTTATTAATGATAATATAATCAGTAGAGTCTCATACATTTCTAATCTTGGAATAATCATGGATGAAAAAATCTTGATTTCGATCTTCACTGCAGAACCATGGTAAAGAAATCCTCAAAGATACTAAATTTTTCTTATCGAAAGCGTTCATTTGGCCACTTCTTGACTACAATACTACATGTTACTCCCCGAGATATCACAAATCAAGTGAAACAATTGAAGGACTCCAAAAATTTCTTATGCGGTGCCTTTCTCCTAATTACAATTTTAATTATAAAAGAAAACTTCTGCAATATAACCTGGTTCTCTGTCAGTTCGTATTAAACAAGATTTAATTTATACTTGTAAGATTTTGTATGGTTATGTTAAACTAGATTGTTCAAAATATTATAATTTTAGGTTAAATTTAAATCCAACAAGAACTAATGGGTTAAAATTACTAAAACATATGTGTAAAACTAAACTAAGGACTCATGACTTCTTTATTCATATTGTTATTTACTGGGATAAATTACCGAACGATATAGCTTGTGCGTCATCCTTAGCAGTCTTTAAAAAAAAAGGTAGTATCATTAATGGTATTATTTAAAAAGTTCATATCATGCAGGAAATGTGCAATCTCGACTTTTACCATCCAACTATATATAATAAAGTTACTTCGAATTGTACTATATTATATTATTCTATTTCCTCTTTAACTTCAATTCAATTTCCTCTTCAATTTTTGTCATAATTTCCATATTTCTTATTACCAAATTTTATTATTTATTTATTTTTTTTATTTTTTACTTTTTTATCAATTAATATAAGCACATGGCGTTGTCGCCCTGCTTGGCTGGTTTTCAATAAATAAATAAATTTGAAATAAAGAAAATGAAATCTCTTCAATCAATCGAATGGGAATACATATTTGATTTGACTGATTTCAGAATCTATGAATATTGAATTGATATGAACTTGAGATTTTTCATGAGTTTACCACAAAATATGGCAGTTTTCAAATATTCTAAGTTGATCATAATGTATCGATTTTTTGTGGACAAGATTTATCACAATCATAAGGTTCGATTTGTGAGGTTTGGCAATAAGTTGGCTATAAGGATTGATAAGTATAATATACACTAATTACTTAGATTAGTATTTCTAGCATTCTAGCAAAAGGATCCGGATTATGCTCATCTGCACTTCTATCCCCAAGTGGTTCTCTGGCTAAAGTTCCTCATTCTGTTGGTAGCCAATAATACATGTCTAATCAAGAATGGTAATCACTAATCAAGCTTGATTGTCGTGCCTTATCCACTTTCCTTTTTTCAGTGCTATTTGAAATTATTTTTCATATTAATCTGTGAAATTATGCCTATTTGCAATTACATTTTTTTATAAAATTATTTCCAAAATTCGGCAAAGATCCATTCACTATTATATTCACTACCAGATGTTTGGAATTTATAAATCACTGTTTATATAAAATAAATACAACCAGATGGCTTTCATATTTTACGATTTCATCTCTCTATAATATTTCTTTATTGCTTTTGTTCATTAGGATCATTTATCACTATTTGGTCGATAAATTTTCTTCAGTTATTTTAAACTGTTAGAAACAAAAAGTTTCGGCCATATATTTATACAATATTAAAATAAAGGTAAAAAAGGAAACAATGTAGTGTGAAATGAAGTATTAAGTGGTTAGCAGTTATTTCGCGTTCGAGTTGCTACCAGTAGAAATCCTTTCATCAACCACTTCAGAATGAAAAACAATTGAGGCAATTCTTCACATCGCCAGGATTTTAATTGCCGATTTGAAATGAAAATGTGATGACAATTGATATTTTCACCAATAATAAAAGTGGATAATTGAAGTAAAATTATTGAAAAAATTGCCAGATATTTAATGTTTGCGACCATTACAAAATTGTATTACTTAAAAATTTAATGTGACAAAACCCTATATGCGCAAAAATTAATAGTATATGATGTATAACGACGAACCTGTTTAAATCTTTTTGTGGTAGAAATGAATTGTTGCCCTTATATCTAATTATCGAAAATCTGGCAATTAATCCTCTTTGCTTTAGCATTAAAAGCAATGGATGATGGCGCAGAATTAAGGAATTTTACGGTTATATACTTGAAAGCACCACTAGAAGTGGCTGAGGACCATGTTACATTCATGTTTGGCATATTTGTATTATTTTCATTTGCGACTGGCTGTATTGTATTAGCCTCAAAATTGCCGGCAGGAAGGTTTTATTTTTATCTTTTTTTTCATTTTTTAATTCGCTATAGAAAGGAGAAGTTGAATAAATTGAATAAGTTGAATAAGTAATTCTTCCTTTATATTTCTGCATAAATGAAGTTCAAAATTAGAAAATTACGATTAAATTAAGAAAATTAGAAAATTCGAACAAAATTAAGTTTTGTGCTTTCTTTTATATATATGAAGTTTTATATATATGAAGGTTCTTTTGATAGGCATTTAAGAAATTAGCTTCTTGTTCTGATTTGATCAGCTGCTTGATTAACACAAGTTCTTCTCTAATTTAAGCACAGATCTTAGCACAAACTTCACATTTCTTTCATTTTTCTGTTGGCTATACAAGGATCATAAGCTCACCCCATCAAGAGATCCATATTACCTAAGGATAACATTCAATCATCTTAGTCTCATCGACCTAACTTAAAAAACAGGAAATTCAGGCATTATTCTTCGAATGGTTTGCTAATTCTGGCATTCAAAGGAACAAATTATTTTAAAAAAGATTCAGCCACTATTAGTGTTATTTCAACGGAAAGGTATGCATCCTGAAAGAAATCTTAAGCTTTATGAATTTTCATCTATTGATCCGATATTATTTTCTCTTCTTGTTTTAGCTTTAGTTTTGGCTGGCTATACTAACAAGCGTGTTGCCCTTTCGCCAAGTAATAATTTGGGGGAGCAGTTAGATACTCAGTGGCATCCCCATTTCATTTTCCAAATAGATTTCAAAGGGCAGAAATCAAATCCATGATGAATTTCTACGGGCCACTTGGTCATCCTCCTTCTAAATTTCATTATTCTATTGCTCTCGATTGCTTCTGCTGGCCTATGATTAGTGAAGATTCTTTAAGTGCATAGTTCCATAATCCATGCAGAAATCCCAGTCGAGAAAGAACCTATATTATTATAATCTGGTATTATCAGTTTTTTTTTCAGTCAGAATGTTCATTCATCATATAAAAGTCTTGGCTCAAGTGCGCCATTGTTATCAAGACCTCCATCTTATGATGATGGTGATAATGATGATATTGAAGTAGTTCAGATTTAATTTTTTGCTTCTTTTAAACTTATCATATCATTTTTGCATATGCTTCATTTGGTTATTTAAAAATTGACTTAAATTAACTTGCTTTACTATTGTCATTTAAACTATTGATTTCGACGGATATTTTATCGGCAATGTTGGTTCCTTTTAATTGTAATTTTTTATTAATGAAAAAATTTTAAAAATAAAGTAAGAAATGAAATAATTTCAATATTAGGATGATTAATGAAAGTAATTCTTATTAATTTTTAATTCAGAATATCTTATAAATTTCTTGTATCCCATCCTTCAACATTGCTTATACAACGCACCATCTTCTAGTTAGGCAGGCATTTTGCAGGCTTAGTCGAGCCAGACTAATCCGGGTGGTACTGCTGATATACCTGTTCTTTCATCACCAATTGACTTCTTCAAAATTTATCTAGTGGTACAAAGCAGCCTAACAAGACATGTTAGATTAGAGTTCTTAAATGGAAAAATTCACCATAATATTGTGTTACATAACAATGTTTATGCTTTGCATATTGTTTATGAGATTTAGAATATTTAGGGAAATTTCTTTCACTTTTGGTGGTTCTAAAACTTTTCACTGTCATCCAAAAACTTTTCACTGTCATCCAAAAATAGATATCTAAGCGTTTTTTAAACATAATTGAGCATAAAAATAATATGTAAAAGGAAACGAATGCTTTTTCCCAATAATTAATTAATCGCATATGTGTATTACCAAAAAAAATTAAATTAATTGTATATGGAGTGATTTCAAATTTTTTCTCGTAAAATCATTAGTAATTTTGAAAAATTTCCTGTTCCACGCAAATAATACTCCTATTTCTTATGAAAATTGACGATAAATTGGCAACAAAATGCCATTATCATGAAATAAAAATACGTAAATAATCCTTTACGATTCAAAAAATTGCAAATACACAAAAAACATCACACGACATAGTAACTTTACATCGAAATATATTTGCTAATTGATGCGCAAATAATTTGAACAATCTTCTTAAATGATTTTTATAATGGTATTACCTTTAGAAATATTTATTTATATCGAAACATTCTCGATTAATCCAAATATGTGCAGCACTTTTCTTATTGATGCACCTTTCTTAAAATCGACGCATCAATTTGCCAATCGAACGGAGTATTGCGGTTGATCTGAAAAAAAGAATGTTTGCCTAACACTGCTCAATAGTGCCATGTAAATAAATAAAAAATCTCAGCTGAAATTCGCCATCCCAAAAGGAAACATTAAACATTTATTTGCTAAAAAATCTTGATTAACCTACCTTTAATCGACGCATAGCCCGTTCAATATATGCCTGAATTGTTCGATAATCTGGCTTAGTGTTAAAACTAAAACGAATGGTCTTATGTCGAAAAAATATCATGATACGTTTTCACATTTGTACGAAAATGCTACCACATTTCCCCTTAATTAATAAATAAATTGGTCATTTCTCGCTATGCTCATTCCATCGGCCATAAGTGAGATAAGAAATTTTTGTCAGGGAGTCAATTATTTAAAAATAAATAAATGTGAATCGCAACTTGGCTATCTTTGCCTCTTCTCTTTTTTTCTTTAATTCTTATTTTACTTATTCTACTTTAGTTTTCGCCAAAATAGAAAATGTTAAGACAACAACTGTATGTGAAAACTGGACATTAGCCTTTTACCGTATTCCGCAGTTTTTTTCATTTTCAATCAAATTTACAAAAAAGAAAATCATAATTCGAAAATTTTTGACCAGTAAAAATTAAAATTGTAATATTTTTAAGATGCAATATCCCGTTCAACACAAATTTCGCTCTTTACTAAACCCTGTGCTGAATGGTGCCAAAAAGGAGCAATCAAGGCCTGGACTAGTACAGCCAAAGGAAATTTCGAACGTGTAGAAAGATCAGAACGAACTTAAAGGATGGAAAAAAAGAGTAATTTAATTCATTTTAAATGGCTTCAGGAGTGAGAAAAGGGTTTATCCTAGTGGCCAGTGGACTCAACCAAACCAGCTGAAGGTGCATAGCTTTAAAAACATTTTTTAATTCTCCTTTAGAATTTGTTATATTTGTTATATTTTTATTATATTTGTTATATTTTTCAATTTTAGCTTCATCTCCTCACAATTCATTATTCAATGTCACTTATTTGGAAATTTATTTTCGCGATGAAAAATCAGTTCGATTGTGAAAATTTTTATTTCTAAAATTTTTTCGTGATAATTATTTATGATAAATTAGTTGTCATTTAATTTATCCTTTTAATAGCACAAATTTAATCAACTAAATTTGAATTTTTTATAAATCTCATCTGGAATTAAATTTAATTTACCTTGCTCCATCAATTATTTTCATTATTTCATCGAATTCTTGAGGACAATTCTTCAGCAATTTACATCTACCTGATTCTCGGGCAAATTGCTTCCATTCACCAATTAACATATATTGTGTTCTTGGCTCATATTTCAACCAAGGCAAATTACCTTTAAAATGTTTTGAAGGTTATATATTTTTAAAACTTCATTGTTTTCTATAACAAAAATGGCTATTTTCTTATTTAAGTAATTTAATAATTTGGAAAATTCCAAGTTTTATATTTCAATAGAAAATGCTTAAAGGTTTCAAAATTTTTTAGAAACCATTTATCATTTCAATTAACATATAAAACCATGACTCGAGATCGTCTTTTCTACTCTGATCCAGGAAATTATGTGCTCTAAGCGATGCATAATGAATGGTACCCATTAATGCAGCAGATTTCCTCTCTGCTATTAATTGACCATTTTTTTGCCTTAAATTATTATTATTATTATGCAGATATGCATTTGACTTTGCACTTTGCATGTTGATATGATGGTTGATATGTTGATATGATAGTGTATAACTTCGGCTGAAAGCAAGTGCCATGGGTTCGATTCCTATCACTTCATACCTTTCATTGAAAGTAAGACATGAGCAGCTTGAAAGCGTGATTCTCCATCAATCCTCAACTATTTAGAGAGTTTGTGGTAAAAGGATTTCAAGCTAGTGGTCACAGCATGCAAAACCAAATGGTAAGTATTATTGCAGGAGAAGAAAGGTTTAGAACAAGGATTGTTGGTAATACACATCAAAATATATAGCTCTAAGGCATACAAATAACGTCTTGCAAGTCCAAAATCCAGCATATATATTATTTGTATATCATCATAACCTATGCAAAAATTATTTGCTTTGATATCACGACTTATCCATCCATTAGCATGCAATGAGTGAATTCGATCGAGAGTCTGTAATGCAATACGTAAACTTGTTGCTAGTGAAAACCTGAAAATAGAAGGCAAAGCGTTTATAAATATAGATTTTTCTATGAAAAATTTTTGATTTTACTTTTGCTCTGGAATTGACATCCTTAATCGTTGCAGATCTGGCCCAACAAGTTGCATAATTATATATTTATATATAACTGTTTGACCTGCTGCAATGATCTGCGGAAATCCAGCCACTGCTTGTACATTCATTTCTTTAAGTACAGTAGCTTCTATTTTTAGTACCGGCCTGAAGGAAATCACAAACTAGCTTTTTAAAGACACAGTGCCTTCGTTATTAAAAAATACTCATTTTATTGAACGAAAAGTTTGTTCGTTTATGGTATAACAAATAAAACAATAACAAATAAAACTGACCTCAAATTTCCAACTTTCTGCTCGGTTTTCATAGCATAACGGTGTAGTCTATCAGAAACAACAAAAACGTTACTGAATGGCCCCTTATATAAAAGTTCTTCAACACAAAAATATTTTCCTTTGCATTTTATTCGACTGCAGTTATTTACAGACGAACAGCTTTCGATGAAGGACATCTGGCCACGACTTATAATTTTCTTGACAAGATTCTACATATTGGACTATTATCTCCTATTATTAACATGGAAAAAAGGCATTGATTGTCTATTTTTTATTAAATGCAATCATGAACGAATCAGTGAAATAGCGAAAAGCAGAAAAATCTTTTAATGTTTTCAGATTGCACCAGGGACAGGAAAGAAACCAATAAAGCTCGAATATACTCGAAATAATATATAACTTCGAGTATATATTTAGGGAATTTATGGAATCTATGGAAATTGAGACGTTTTTAAAATGTTTAAAGAAATAACTGTGAAGGAAATAAGTTAAGCAATAGAAAAATTATAGCTATTTTTCAATCCCATCATAACGAAATAACTAATCTAAAAAAGAAAAAACTCCGAAAAAAGTTCACAAATTTTGAAGTTTTTCTTCGCAAAAAAAATAATTCCACCGCTCACCAACGGAATATGGATATTAATGCAAATTCCTCTAACTTTTTAGAACAAAATCAACGGTCATTGATTGTTTTATTTTCCAAATCCAATTAACCAATGAATTTTTATAAATATTAATATTTTTTCTGAGTCTTTTAAAATTCTTCTTTCTTCTTCTAACAGCTCTCACCTGGCTCCAATGGTTACAAAGGTATAACGCTTCCATGCGGCGTGGTCTAATGCCATCGTCGACAGTACAAGAAGCCATTCCTTTTTCAATCGTCTAAGTCCATATATTGCTGGTCCATCTATACCTTCTTTCCTAAACGTATCAGTCCAGGTCTTGATTGGCGCATCTCGCTTTTGACGTCATCCTTCACAAGGTTTAGCAAGTAATAAAATATGCGATAACTTACAGAAAAAAAATATACCCTCTTAGCATTATGAAAATTCCGTTGGGAGTACGACGATTTCCCTTCCAATATTCTACCTTTACAAAAACTCCTGTTGGGAATCTGCTCCACTGTTTTTTCTATATAGATTTAATAACTTTCCTTTCATGCCGGACTTCTATTTCTTAACAATATTATAAACTCTGTGCCAGCGTTCTCTTCATACTTTTCTCGTTACGAACCCACAAACTTGGGTTATTAAACCTTTATTAGTGAAGATATATATATATATACAAGGAAGTAAAGCGAAACAATTGTCCTATTACAAGGAAATAATACAGTAAATAAAATCAAATATAAGATGCAAATGCCCATCGCTCACCGATCGCTCCCTACTTGTTTCCCTAATAGAAGCATAAAATGACCAAAAATAATAATTTAAGGTGTATTTTACGGGTCCGTCGAGCGGATAAAATATCACATGATCGCATCCACCTTCGTTCAAACACTATCTGTATTAATAATGTTATCACAGAGCCGAGCCTTGTCTAGGACACGTTCTCTGCCGTCCACCACAAGAGTTATTGTCGCCGAATGGCGAAAAAAGCTGTAAATATGAGCAAGTCATCCGGATCGCAGAGTACCTAATAACAGTAGAGTATACCTCATGAATGAGAGGAACAATATAGTTTTTATTATAAGAAGATTAAAAATCATAAATCATCCCATCTTAAATTAAATTAAATATAAGCTCCCAAAAGATCATTTTTGGTCATTTGATGTTTCTATTAGGGAAACGAGTACCTTAGACAAAAGTGATCAAAGGTAGATAGCTTCTTAATATCCTCCACATCTCATATCATCTCATTGGCCATGACTCAGGATCATAGAGCAAGATCGAACGAATCACGGCTATATAGATGCGGACCTTCGTTTTAATGGTAATTTCACGACGGCTCCATAGAGGTGAACCGGAAGAACGCATTTCTAGCTGCCGTGATCCGGGTTATAATATCATCTTTTGCCTGGCTATTTGGTATTAGAGTGGACCTAAGGTATTTATAATCGGGCATTTTCTCGACCAACAATGAAGAGAGGCATTTTATCAGTTTCTTGTACATAAGACGAAAGGACCTTCATTTTATATACATTGACCCTGGGTCCTATTCTTGCTACAGTTTCTGACACGTTAGCATTACTTGCATTTCATCATAACTGTCAGCAAAAAGGACTACATCATCAGCGTATTCAAGATCTGATGCTCTGGACTGATTTGGACATCCCTTGAGTGTCGACAAGCGGTGTTCATTACCTAGTCTATCGCATAGTTGAAAATACACAGATCTGCGCCGACGTACGCTCGTAAAATACCTTTATGAGTCGAATAATCTTCTCTAGAACACCGTCGCATTCCATCACCCTCCAAAACCTTTCTATTAATTGAATCAAAGGCACCGCAAAGTCGATGAAACACGTGACAGTGGGTTGCAAATATTTGAAGCGATGTTCCAATACCCTTCTTAACGTAAATATCTGGTCAGCACAACTGCACCCTGGTCTGAATTCAGCTTGATTAGGGCGCATCCTGCTGTCTCATACTTCCATAAGTCTATTGAGCAGCAGGGAAGCAAAAATTTTTACTGAGACGTCTAATAGGCTGATTCCTCGATAATTGTCGCAGTATGCCCTATCATCTTTCTTAAGAATTGGGAGCAGAATTGCTTTGCTGCAATAATCTGGTAATTTTTCTTTTTCCCAGAGAGTACATTTGTTGAAGGTGTCTTATGGAGGACGATGGACAACATTTAAACAGTTCAGCCTGAAGACCATCTTTTCCCGGAGTCTTATTGGCCTTAAGCTTATGGATAATTGAAATTATTTCTTCTTCTGTTGGAGGATCGAAATTGCAAACGTATGCTTCGGCAAACGTATCAACTATATCACGGGCAACAGATGGCGCTTCATGGTTAAGTTTGGCCTCAAAGAATTTTTTCCATCTTATGAGGCTGTCCTTAATACTCTTGATTGCTACGCCATTGCTACGTCCTTTACCATTTCACTGATCGTTCCACCAATTATAGTTACTTTATGAAGAAGGTGGAATAGTTTCCTATTATCGCCTAATCGAGCTTTTAAAATTATAATATCAATATTCACATTTAAAGTATAAATTTGTCTGTTTTTTGGTTTCCTTCGCTTCATGTTAATTTCATCAGCATATTCATCAGTTTTGATTTTTAGTTACTTTCAATGATTGAAAAAACTGATCAGTGGGCTTTCAATCTTAATTTTTGCTGTGGGTTAATAACAAATTATTTAGAAAATTATCGACACAAAAAATTAAGAAAATTATGACTAAAAACTAGTCAAAATTTTTTAATGACAAATTTTTTATTTGCTCTTAATTATTAAAATTAATCGCAACGTGATTTTTATATTTTTTATTTAATTTTTTGAATTAAATTTTTTTCGAATAGTTGCATGAAAAATAGCAGCAACCTCTATTGAAATTTGAAGAGGACTTTCTAAAGTCTTGCACTTATAGGTTCAGAGCAACAAGATATGGCCACTAGGCATAACACTATACATTAACTCTGTTGGCTACTTCTATTTCTCTCGTCTCATTAAATTTCAATAGAGGTTTTTTTTCAATTTCTTTCTGGTCTTAAATTTTAAAAAATTTGCGTATCCACGCAAACAAATAATTCTTCAACATAATGATGTGATCACCTCTGATATCGATAATGCAAATATATTTAATTAATATTTAATAATTTTCTAGTGTATTTATTGATAATAATATAGATTTATAGTTCTTTTTTTAACGTAAATCGTATTTCTTCCACTTTTCTCTATGAGGATGAAATAATGTTATTAGATGTTTATGATGCCTTAAACAGACTCAAGTCGTCCATTTCAGCTGGTCCCGATAATATTCCACAAATAATTTATAAAAAAGTGAGTTCCTCTGTGTCTTCGCCTATTTCTAATTTATAAAGATATTATGAAGTCTGGCCTTAATCTTAAAATTTGAATATCTCTTATAATTGATAAATCCCATTCATAAAAAAAAAAGGAAGCATGAGATACTGACAGATCTTTTCGATCAATCAACATCAATTAATAATAGAAAAACAGTATAAATTGTATATCTAGATTTTTTAGCCAAAGCTTTTGATACTGTTTTCTATAGAAAGTTGTTGATCACTCTTAATAATTATGGCTTTAAAAGGGGCCTGTATAATTGAGTGTCAGGTTACATAAAGATTGTCACCAGGCTGTATGCGTCAACATTCTTTCTGATATGACACCTGTTAAATCTGGCGTTCTGCAAAGTAGTTATATTGCGCCATCGCTTTTTTTATTACATGTAAACGATATCATCAAAGTGGTACTAAATTCTACCATTTATCTTTATACTGATAGTAAAATTGTTTATTTTTCTCATGTTAGAGCGAGTAACCTATCTCCACTGCATGAGGATCTCAATATAATAACCAACTGGCTATATGGCTAAATTACTTTTGTTTTTCAAAACTACCGTTTTAATATATAAATTCAAAAGGATTCTAACTTTTTATCAATGGTAACATAATCAGACAAGTCTCACATATTCTGGCGATCTTGATAATCATGGATGAAAATCTTGACTTCGGATCCTTACTTCAGAACCATAGTAAAAAATTCCTCAAAAATACTAAATTTTATTTTCGTTCGTTCAAAAATAGAACTGGTTTTAAAAAAAAAGGTTTTATCAAAATGCACAAGTCGTTCGTTCGCCCTCTTTTTGACTACAATACTACATGTGTTACTCCCCGAGATATATAATACAGTTACTTCGAATTGTACTATATTATATTATTCCGCAATTTCCTCTTTATTTCCTCTATAAACCATTAATTTTTGTCATATTTTCTATTTTTCTTATTATTAAATTTTACTATTTGTTTTTTTTAACTGTTGTTATTAATGCACATAGCGTTATCGCCCTTTGTCGCCCAGCTTAGCTGGTTTTCAATAAATAAACAAATCAATACCACAAATCAAGTAAAATAATTGAAGGACTCCAGGACTCTCTCCTAATAGCAATTTTAATTAGAGCGAGTAACCTATCTCCACTGCAAAGAAAACTTCAACAATACAACCTGGATTCTCTCTCACTTCGTAGAATTAAACATGATTAATTTATATTTGTAGAATTTAGAATCTATAGAATTTTATATGGTTATAATAAATTATATTGTTCAAAATTTTAGGTTTAATTTGAACCCAGCAAGATAACAGCCTAAAATTACTAAAATCTATAGGCAAAACTAAACTAAGTACTTTCTTTACTATTAATTACTGGAACAAATTACTGAACGATATAGTTTGTGCGTCATCCTTAGCTATTTTTAAAAAAGGAATAGATGATCATTGACTTCATTTAAAAAGTTCACACCATGCATGAAATTTTCATGTCATGCATCATGTATGAAATTTTTTTTGAAATCTTGATTTTTACCATTTTTACCAATCTCGATTATGCATAAGTAATACATACACTTCGAATTATACTATTTTGTGACTCCTCTTTACTTTATTAATTTTAACCATATTTTCTGCTTTATTATTAATTTTCATTAATTAACAGTTGTTATTAGTACAAGCACATAGCACTTGCCGTCTGCTTGATTGGTTTTAAATATATAAATATTGTGCATTTTCACATTTCCTTAAATTGTAAATATGAAAAATCTCTAATAAATTTTTTGCTTATTTTCATTTGTTTGGAATCTATTGTCTAAAAAAATTAATAAAAAGTTAATTTATTAACGAAAAATTCCAGTAAATTTTATTGTGCATGCAAAAAACAAAAATTCAAGAAATGAATAATATCATTATATACCGGCAATAATTAATCCATGGACGGATATCTCCATTCATCCATTGCTACCAAGGTTTCCTTGATACATAATGGTGAAGACCATTTCAAAACATAGTGAGGACCACCTGCTTTATCATTCGTACCTGAAAAATAAAATTGAGACATGACAAACGACCTTTTGAAAAAGTAAGGAACAGAAGATGCAAACCACTCATACGACTGCCACCAAAAGGTTGTTGTCCAACGACTGCACCGGTTGATTTATCATTTAGATACATATTTCCAACTGCATCTCGAAGCTTATCGCGAGCAGTATTCAAAAAATTCCTGAAAAAATTTTGCTAATTAATTATGGAAAATAAATGAAATCAAAATTAAAAAATTAGAAAAATATAAATTCAATAATTTAGCCACATTAGAAAAACAAAATTACTTGTCCTGTGCGAAAATTGCTCCTGTAAGCCCAAAAATGGTACCATCTCGTAAAGACTCAACTATTTTCATCGTGTCGTTATCATCATATATGAATGCCGTAAGTAAGGGACCAAAAATTTCCTAAAAAGGTGTTATTCCTAATTCACATGATTTTAATTTTAATTCAAAAGATATAATGAGTTTATTAAGTTAAAGATTAAAATTAATAATTTAAATTAATAAGTTAACATGCGCTACATTTTTGCCCAGAATATTCAAAATCTGATCGCATAATACAAGCGGCAGATTTAATAAGTTACGAGAAAGATTCACTTCAGTAAGAAGTTTTGAATCCCAGTTAATAACAGTAACAAGTGTAGGCTGAATAAAGAAGCCTTTGGAGTTGTCGTAAGTACCTCCAAAGATGATTTCAGCTCCATCAGCACCACTACGAGCGTGCTCAATATAGGAAATAATTCGATCGTATGCTTGTGCATCAATAACGGCACTGGTGAAAATTGAGCCGTCACGCACCTGAAAATTTCTATCTTCCAGAAATTAGGAACTTTATGATTATTAGAATAACACCATCGCTTAAATTTTGCCTCAAGGAATATTAACAAGAAAACTAAGATTTTAAATTTTAAAATATTTGTAGTATTTGTTGTATCAGTATAACAGTTGGAGAACTTGAAGAAAATTTTTTCTAATATCGAGCATTGGTTCGCTACTACTAGGTATTCACTAGAGAATAAAAATGCAGGTCCAGCAGCCAGATTTCAATTTTAATGGCATATTCTCAAGAATTTTTTTGTATCACATTTTAACCTATATAACCTATATATTGTAACCTACATCGCCAACTTTCAGTTCTTTTTGAATCACCATCATTTTTTCGCGTAAAGACGGCCAAAGACTTTTTGGAACAAATAAACGTGAACATGCGCTACATTTTTGCCCAGAATATTCAAAAGCTGATCGCACAGTACAAGCGGCAGCCACATCCAAGTTTGCTGAGTGATGAACGAAATGAAAATTTTTACCACCGCATTCTTAAGAAAAAAGAAATTAAAAAGTGTAAAAAAAGCTAAAAATATTCTGTTTCTTTATTCTTTTTTTTAAAAAAACATTTATTTAATCGAACAATATTTTAAAAACATTTGAAGGAAACTCGTACCTCCAACCATTTTCGGGAAGCTGATAAATTTATGAAGATTATTTGCTACAGCTAACCATAAGTTTTGAAATGTGGGCACTGATCCAGTGAAATTCAAACCCGCAAAATATTTATTATTAGTTATAACAGCACCGAAATCTTTCCCATTTGCTGGTAGAAATGAAATAATTCCTGGAGGCATTCCTACAAATAAATTGAATATATAAATTGGAAAATTTGAAATAAGTTGATAAAATTCGTTTTTTTAAATTTTTATACGTTTGAATTGAAATGCGTTTATTTAAATTTTTGTTTAATTTGATAATTTAGTCGCAATGATTTCAGAAACATGGATTTTGTAAATTTCTATAAATTTGTAAATTTAAAAAGATATATTATTTCAGCATCACCAAACTTTCTGGTCTGATTGCAGTTGCAAATGTAATCGTTTTTTAATCGCAACATATTTAATTATGATCCTTAATAATTAGTTAAGGCAAAGAAAAAAACTTGGCGAACCTGCTTCTTCAAGAATTTTGAAGACGATATAACTACTTAGTAATGCTGAATTAGATGGCTTCCACAACATAACATTACCCTTAACTGATTTTAATGTAAAACTATTTATTACTTTTTTATTTTAGACAGTTCACTTATTTATTCTTCCAAAAAATATTTATACTCAATGAGTTTAATTAATAAAAAAATTTCAAGTTTACAGATCTTGAAAAAAAAGGGAAAGAAAAACCGAAAGTAGCCTTCCCAAAAGAATTCTAGTTATTTTATTTTTAATCTGGATTTAACTGAATACTAACTACGAGCGTTGGTGCTGTAGCAAGATTTCCTCCAATGGCAGTGAAGTTAAACGGAGCGATTGCGGCAATAAAACCATCTAACCCTCTGAAATCTAATTAATAAACACTGCGTTCTGATTATAAAATATGACCAAAGGATTGAAGGGGTCATGAAGAGCAATAATAAAAATAAATTTTAAGAAATGTACGAAATTTGAAACATTCAAAATACGTTCAAAGTATCATAGCTGATCATTTCAAACATCATTAGGTCTCTAACTACCATTCTTCATTTTCTTTTTCTTCTAACAGTTCTCACCATTACTAATTAAGCTGGTTACAAAGGTAAGACGTCGCTAAGGTGCTTGGCCCTGCACCATCGCTAGTAATAACAAAAGCCATTCGTTTTTCCATTGTCTGAATATATACATCGCTGGTCCACCTATACGTTTAAAATCTTTCCTGACCATATCAGTCCAGGTATCTTAATTGGCTCTCCTCGCTTCTGACGCCAGCCATCACAGGGTTTAGCGAGTAACGAAATATGCGACAACTCTTTGTGATAGTACTGTTAAAACAAGTGGTATTTGAACGAATGTGGGATTAAGATTTGTGAGATTTTATCCATTCAGATAAAATGTATTTTCTTAAACATGATTGATCAAAGGCTTAATGCAGTTTTAACTAGATAACTAGATAACTTAATATTCTTCACTTTCATTGGCCATGTCTCGTAGCCATATAGCAAGAATCTCAATAGTATAGATACAGACTTATTTTTGTAGTGATTTCACGATGGCTCCATAAAGATTTCGTCAACAGGAAGAATGCATTTCTAGCTGCCATAATCTGGGTTATAATGTCTTCTTTTGCCTAGCCATTCAGTATTAGAGTATTAGATCCAAGATAAAAACCGGGCACTTCCAACAGTGAATTTATAAAAAGAGATATTTTATCAGTTTCTTGTATATAGGACGAAAATATTTTCGTTTTATTTACATTGTGTTTCCGATTCTCGCTAAAGTTGCTAACACGCTGTTTAATATTATTTGCATTATAACTGTTTGCAAAAAGGACTACATCATCAGCATGTTCAAGGTATGTGATGCTGTGGACTGATTTGGACGCCTCTTGAGTTTCAATGCAGACCTGTACCTGCTGACAAAACGCCTTTATGAGGCGATGATCATCTCTGAAATACCGTTACACTCCATCACTTTCCAGGGCGCTGCTCTATTAATCGAATCGAAGGCAACTGCAAAGCTGATAAAGCAAATAATTGTGGGTTGCTGATATTTAAGGCGATGTTTCAGCATCCTTCTTGGCATAAATATCTGGTTAGAAGAACCGCGTTCCAGTCTGAATCCAGCTTAATTAGGACGAATTCTGCTATCTCGTGTTTCCATGAGTCTAATTTTTTCGGAGATGTCTAGTAGGCTGATTCCTCTGTAATTTTTGCAGTATCACCTATCATTTTTCCTAGGAATTGGAAGTAGAATTGCTTTGCCCCCTTTTCTGGCATTATTTCCTTCTCCCATACCAGAGAGTAAATTTGCTAAGTTATGAACGATGATGGACAACATTTAAAGAGTTCAGTCCGACTATCTTCTTCTTATTGGCCTTAAGCTTATGGATAACTGATATTATTTCTTCTGTCGGGGGCTCGCAGTTGCAAGCATATGGTTCAACTAACGTATCAGTTATAGGGGCAACAGATGGCGCTTCATGGTTAAATTTGGCTTCAAAGAATTCTTTCCATCTTATGAGGCTGTCCTTAATACTCTTGACTGGCAGGCCATTGCTGTCCCTTACCGTTTTACTGATCGTTCCTCGAATTATAATTGCTTCATGAAGAAGGCTGAATAATTTCCTATTATCATCTAATCCAGTCACCGTCTCCATTATCAAGGTTATGCTGCTATCGTTACAATTTTTCGAATCATTCGGTAGACAGGATCTTCTAACATTCCTAGCTTTTTCAAACAGTTGGACAATTGCTTCCGATATCCAACTGATGCACTTCCTACTAGCATATCCTAGCGTGGAAGTGGCTGACTTTCGAGACATTCCTTTAGCAGTATCCATTGCTATTCCAGAAAAATTGTTGATATTTATGCTATTGAGACTCAATAATTCGGTTTAAAATGCGCTGATCTTCTCGAATTTTTTAGCTTGAGATAAATGAAAGATCTTGGGGGTATTTCTTTCTTGTTATCAATTTTATGCGGATTTTTGTTTGAACCATAACATGGTCAGATCCATGAAGATTGCCCGTTTCAGCGCCGCGGTAGGAATGGCTATCTAGTACGGAACTCTTCCAATGGTGACTGACTAAGATATAATCAATCTGGTTAAAGTGTTGGTTATTCGGGGAGTTCCACGCGATTGGATGTTTTCTACGATACAGGAAGCAAGTATTACTAATAAGAAGTTCATGCTTTTCGGCATAACGAAGAAGGCGTTTCCCATTGGCGAACCGGTTTTCGATGTCATATTTGCCAATCATCGAGTAGAGATCATCGCAGCCGCATAATGACCTACGCGTGTATTCCAGTCTCCCCTGACCATATGGCCATATTATGGCCATATCAAATTTTGGTAGGGACCCAGTTGAAGTTCCGCATGGAACTTATCTTTATCACGGTCATCTACCGACAGAGTTGGAACACTGATGACCGAGATGTTGCGGAACTTACCTTTAAAAAGGGCATAGGCCATACGGTCGATTACCAGTTCCCACTCAAGCAAAGCGGAATGTGCTTTGTCAGATATGACAATGGCTACGACATCTCGCTCCAAGTTATCTGAAGCACCACAGTATAGCCATTTAGTAATTACTCGAGACTCGAAGACGGACTTTCGACAAGCAGACGATATCCATATGATATTTAGAAAGGGTGTAGACAGTGATCGTTTGAATCGTTTCACTTGCGTCCATAAGCGTGCTGATATTCCACGCTGATACTGCTAAGACCTCACCGGGCGTGCATAGTCGTTTCCCTTAATAAGTTTCGATCAATTACCATGGCTTGCAAGCATATTTTATTTATCAGCCCTAGAATCGCTTTACGCCCGAATTCTATACTTATCGCATATATTACTCGGCTGGGAGTATCATATGCACCGGAAGACACGGACGCCGTATCAAGAATATCTGATCTTTCACCATAGAGTCACTTGGGATAGAGTTAAAAGTGGATCCCCATCAGCACTCGGACTATTAAGAATAGATCTTTCATTATAAAATATAAGTAGTAATTGAGGCCTATATACTAATTCATGGCCAGTATCTGCCAAAGAATGAATTAAACTTACCGTAAGATCATCGAGTTGGTGATGCCTTGCGGCGAAATCAGTTGATATTTATCCGCATCTAGAGTAAACATAGCATTGAATCTGAAAAAATCTGTGAGTTCGCAAGCTCCATCGATTTCAGCTTGGACGATTGATTTTCCTTGACCAAGCATAGTGGCAGCATTTATAGCCATACGATATTTGCCGCTTAAAAGGTCTGCTGCATGTAATAAAATATCTGCCCTCTTTCTGGAATTTATTAGTTCATTTATAAATCAATTATAATTTAATGATCCTGGAGAATTTAATAAATCTTTTCGTGAATGGAAAAGAAGAAAGAACTGAATTTTATTTTGTTAGATGAATTGTGATTCATTTTCATTTTTCATAAATATTTTTAAAATATTTTAAATATTTTAAATATTTTAAATTTTAAAATAATTTTAAAAAGTATCATAATTTCCCAAAAATTTTTGAAAAAAAATTAAGGTTGAAAGATAAAAAATAAATTTTTTCGATAAAACAAATTTCTGATGAAAATCCGAAAAGAATGCTTTTATTACCATTATCATCGTTATCTTTATTGTCGATCTTATCTAAGCAAATGATGAACAAAAAAAATTAGAGAATTTGTGGGAATATGAATAAAAATTTCGATTAAAGAGAGGTTCGATATTTGAAGAATAAATATTAAAAATGAATTATCAAGAATTATTATTGAATTATTATAAAAAATTATTAATAAATTAAAATATTAATTAAAAAAATTATTATTAAAAATAAAGTCTCAGTGATGCTAAGTACCGATGTGTTCTTCGGAGTCATCAGTATTTTTATCCTGAATTCTATGCAGATAGCTTATATTTCCATATCTAATAGAGCTAACAAAGGAAAAAAAAGTGGCTTAAAAGTGGCAAGTTTCTATAAATTTGTAGAAATTTCGAAATTTTGGATAAAATTTAATAGTAAATGGTAGGAAAATAAATCCACAAAATCCAAAGAAAATGGCCGGACAAGGAGAAATCTATTATTTGTGCTTTTTATTTTGAGAAAAAATTACTTGAGTGGTGTCATTTCCCATTTTTCTTTAGCAGCCATAGCAATTTCGATGGCATGATTGATTTGTTCAGCAGTTGCGAAGGTAAATTTGGCTAGCACAGTTTTATGATCAGAAGGCTAGAATTCAAAAATGTTAAAAATTGCGAAAATAAAAATTGTGCTTGCAAGAAAATTTTTTATCGTCGATTTACACCAAGCTCGAATATGACGATTACAAGCTTTAACGAATAAAAGGAACTAACCATGATTTGCTCCTTTTCGAGATTATTATAAATCTTTTCTGAGCCAATGCAAAGAGGAATATGCGCAGTTTGATCAGCCATTTCATGCAATTTCTTATCAAGAGCAATTCGCTCATTACTACCTCGTTTATAGGTGAGAATTGGTTCATTTTTAGGTGTTTTCATAAATTGCTCTGAGGAAAACCCACTGAATTTTAAAAAATAAAATAAAAATAAAAATAAAATTGTGATGAAAAAAATAATTTTACGAAGAAAATCAAATAAAATGAAATAATTTTTCTGAAATAATTTATAAAAATTTTGAAACTTTTTTAAAATATTTATTCAAAATAATCGAAAAGAAACCATAAATTAAAATTCAAAAAAAAACCTAAAAGCGGTGACCTAAAAGAAGTTGTTTAAATATTAAAAATAAATTAAGGGATCTTTCAAGGAATTTATAAGTAGAAAATAAAGGAATGATAATAGTAATATAATTTATTAATAGTAATAGTAATGCAATCGCAATTTACCTCCATTCGGATATAAAACGAATGCTTTTTTTCGAAAATTTTGCCGAAAAGATGGTCGATAACATTCCTTAAATTATTCTTATTCAAAATATATATCTTGAAAAAAATCAATTTATAAAATAGAATAATTTTAAAAAAAATCGATTAACGTATCACATAAACTAGTTTGGCAGTCTAGTTTATCGAGAAAACTTAAGTTGCCTGACATCTCCTAAAAATGCCCAGTGAAATAGGAATTTTGAAACGGTAAAGAATTTGACAAAATTCAAAAATTCTTAAAATTTCAAGGCAAATAATAATAAAATAATAGTAGGTAACAGTATTAATAATAAGTGATAATAATAACAATAAATAATTATTGCACTGTTAAAAATAATAACAGAAGTAAAGCAGTAAACAAATAAAATAATAAATAATAGTAATGATTAGATAATAGATTAATAATCGAATATTTTTTATTGTAAAACAAAGATCAAACTTTTCTTTTTAAATATATCTTTTTAAAGTATGTGAGAAAAAAGATGCCAAATTTTTTCGCGTCCTTTTGGACCACTAAATCATTTATACTGGAGGAAATGATCTCGAATTTCTCTAAACTTCAATCCTCAATTTATAATAGATAAAAATTCATTCAATTTAGCTAAAATTGTGATGAAATTTAGAAAAATTTATATATTAACTGAAATAGACCAAATTTGAAAATAAAAATAAACCATAAAATTTTGATCAATGAAAAATAATAAAGATGAGAAGGGATGTATTTATCAAACTTATTTATTTATTTATAATGCACTGTTTTAACGAGTGAACCATAGAAGGTTGATTGAAAAGGTCAAGGGTCATACTGACACCGGTAGAGCATTCTATAACGAAATGTCAAACATCGCCACAGGTAAATAATATAAAGTATTGATTGGAACAGTAAAAGATACATATACATAGAAAGGGAAAATATATGTTGAGCAAGAATTACGATAGCAAGCAATCGGTTGAGTGAAATTGAAATAAAATTGAAACAGTTTCAAAAGTACGTAAAACTTTGTTCTTTTATAGGTTAGCATTCACCATTTCTAATTTAACTGACTCTAAAGATAAAAAATAAATCGTTTTAGGTAGTTCCAACCAACCATCAGGCTGATTCCACGTCAAGTTCATTAGGTTAACTAGATAGAACATTTGCCTAAAATAATTTGAAATACGACGTAAACACTAAATGATAATTGCGATAGGTTGAGGAAATGCCCGATTTTGAATGTTTTCGATCCACTCTAAGCCCAGGCAAAGACAACATCAGAACGCAGACAATGGTAAAAATGCGTTCTTCTGCTAGCCCTTATGGAATTCTAGCGAAATCACCATAGAAATGAAAATTTGAGTCCATACATTTGCATGGTTGCATGAGATCTAGCAGATGAGAATGAAGAATAAAGAAATTATCTCTTTCTTTGACCACTCATGTGTAAGATGCATTTTATGGGTCTTCCGAAAATTTCAAATGATTGCATCCATCTTCACTCAAATACCACTTGTAATAACAGTACCATCACAGTGTAAACTTCGCTGGTTAGGATCAGTTACCACGGGAATTGACATATATTTTAGCACTTGCTAAATCGTGTGATGGGTGGCGTCAAAAGCGAAGTGGGCCAATCAAGACCTCGGCTGATACATACAGATTTTTGAACCTATAGGTGGACCAGCGATTTGGACTTAAAAGTGGAAAAACGAACGGTCTCTATTACTGTGAACTGCAACATCGGATCGAACAGCTGGCAAACGTCTTACCCTTGTGGTCAGCGTAGCCAGCCAACCAGTAATGGTGAGAGTCGTTAGAAGTTAGAAGGAAGATAACAATTTGAATGTTTGGAAATTTTCGAAAAATGTAATCTTTCAAATTCTTTATTCCTTAATTGATAATTTCTTTATTTATTTCTAAAGTACTGCGCTGGAAGTCTCATGCAAAAAGTCTCGAAATTTAAAGAAGACATCTTCAAATATTGACGAATTTTGCGGCGACCATTATTTATTTGCAAATATATTGTTATTGCATCACTTAGAAGCTTATAAATCTTTCAATATACATTGAACTAACAATTTTTTTTAAACAAATAACTGATAACCAACTGATATAACTGAATGCAATAATTAAACAAATTATATTTTTAAAGAATTTGGTCCTTAGACGAATGTGCTCTTCCAGTAATAATAGCGGGTGGGTGGGTTCATTTTTCTAAACAATATGAGTGAAGTTAGTGGTCGAGAGAATTCGCTGGGGTGATTTTTGTGTTTGTGTTTTGTTCAGACGTGCCCAGCCATAATCGCCATCCCAATGTTTTTCTGATTTTTTTTTCTTTCTTTTCTTAAATATTTAAAGGATTGTTTGAAAATCTTCGCCATTTTCCATGTGTTTATTAATTTATTCTTTTTCAAATTTTATCTCTCACTTTCTTTAGATTTTTTTTGCAAGTTTATTAATTTATTATTTAATTAAATTTATTTATTTCATTTCATTTTTTTAGAATAATTTATGAGAATTCGTAAAATAAGCCAATATTAATTTGCAGTCAGATAGTGTTAAGCGTGTTGCATTTAGTAGAGCATTGAATGATATGTCGAAATGAATGAATAAATTATTGACATTCCACTTCATATTGGCGTACTATGGTTATGGTACTTCTCATTTTTGTGAATCAGTTCCGCTGAAACCTCCTCCGACCGAATTTATTCGCATCTATGTCCATATCTAATTCTGTAAATATATTCTATTGTTTAAAAAATTTAAAACCACTGAGAAATTTATATTATATAAGTGATAATGAAGTGGTGCTAAACGTGGTTGAATAAAGCCGAACGGAAAGCGTTAATATTATAAATATTGTTAGTCTTTTAAACTATTTTTTCTTTTTTTTCGCACCTCAACATTGAAAAATGGTGAATAAATGGTGAATAACATTCGTTTAACCATCTATAAAATTCATTAAATAGAACAATCATTTTAATATTTTTTGGTTTTTTATATCTTTTAACTAATTTTATTTTATTTTTTCATTTTTTACCATATACGCTTTGGATAATATTAATATAAATCCTTTATATCCTTTTCTTTTACTAAATTAAGATGTCAGCCACTCCGCGGCCATTTAATAAACAAAGTTTTTTTCGAGCTATTGTAATACTTAAATAAAAATTATACAATAAAGATTTATGTAACAATTCTTATAAAAATATTTAAACCATTGGCATTAAGTAAAATACATGGTTTAAGAAATTCTAACAGGCATGCTTATTCTTTGTTTAAATTAATTTTCCTTAGTAAGATATATTTTTAGCCATCGGATCGTTAAATTCTTGCTAAATTCATATATGGCATATAAATCATATTCGTTGTTATCGTTATTATGATTGCCAAACGAATTCGGGAAATTGTAAGCCACTTTAAAAATTTTGTTCCAGTTTAAAAATCTTTTTTGCCGTTTTCTATTTCCTGTTGCTGATGTTTTTTTAAATATGTGTGATTTATTCGCAGATTGTTACTCCTAGCTTTATAGCCTAAGCAGATGATATTTGAGCGAATGGAATATCTTACAATGGACGAAGAAGAACATTGCTTGATCAGCCTAAGCAGATGATATTTGAGCGAATGGAATAATGTGGAAATTAATCTACGTTAATTATGTTAATTATTCTTATACAAGAAATTTATAAGATATCTATTTTTATAAATTCATTGTCGGTTGAGGAAAGTTCAGTTTTAAATACCTTCACTCTAATGCTGAAATGGTGGCAAAAGCTAGGAGTTGCCAAGTAAAAAACGAAGTATAAAAATATAAAAGGATAGCTAGAAATTATGGAGCCGCGAAATCACCATAGAAACAAGCCCACGTCTACATAGCTGCTATTCGCTAAGTCTTGCTGTATGGCTACGAGATATGGCCAATGAGAGTGGAGGATAATTAGTTATCTAAGTATTAAATAAACCTTTGATCAATCATGTTCAAGAAGGTACATTCGTTGAAGGAGAGTTATAAAAAACAGTAGGCAAAGTAGGCAACATTTGAAGCTTTCAGTCCGAAGATTGTCTTTCACTCCGAGATTTTTATTGGCATTGAACGACTGAAATAATTTTTTTGCTCTCTTTGCGATGGACAGTTGTAAACATGGATCAGGAGGATTTCAGGATTTCTGGAATAGATGATGAGCGCATCATGATTAAGTTTATTCCAAAAGAATTACCACTACCCCACAAGTGTCCATACCCATCGTGGATTTGATCGAATTTTGGAGGCATGCTTTAATTGGGACTTGTATTCATCCATTCTAGAGGTATCGTTGCCATTTATATTATTGAGATCTTTGGTTTAAATTTGGTTTAAAATTTGGTTTGATAATTTGGTTTAAAATGCTCTTCCCCAAGCTTTTTAGCTTGAGCTAAATGAAACATCTTAGGAGATCCTGCGAATTGTCAGTTTTATGAATAACGTAATCTGATTCATGGAGATTACCAGTTTCAGCGCCCTGATATTAACTGTTATATAATACAGAAATTTAATCGATCTGATTGGAATATTGTTATCCGAGGAGTTTCGCGTAACTATTTCTTTGATGCCGGAAGCATGTTTTGGTAATAAAAAGTCCATACTCTCAGCACAGCAAAGAAAACATCCTCGTTCTCCATTGTCGCGTCACATCCTACGCCATATTTGCCAACTGCAGAGCACATCTTGCCAATATTTTAATCTACGCGCGCATTCCAATCACTTTTTTGACCATTTCACCTTTCGAGAGAAATACTGTTAACATTTGAAGTCCTACAAAGAACTTACTCTTGTCACTTGTCTACCCATAATGTCAAAATAGTGCAATAATTCCCTTTGAAGCAGATAATTGCCCTTAATTGACTCAATTAGAGATCAAGCATTTTTCAAATACAATAATCGCTATGGCATTTCATCTCGAATTATTCGAAGATGTAGCCATTACCTGTTCTTCAAACCAGGTATCCGAAGTGAGAAATGCGAATTTCCAACAATTAACAGTGTCCTTACGATATTTTGGCAAAGTATGGACATTTGCTTAACTCCTGAAATGAACATTTTGACTCCCACGCTGCCATAGTTAGGGCTTGCCGCATTTATGCAGAGCAGATTGGTAGTTGATCTCCATTGTTCATTTCCATCTCCATTATCGAGCAATTATCTTAGCTGACCAATATATCACCTAAATTGATTAGAGGTCTATTTTTTCTCTTTTTGATATTTTTCTGAAGCTTGGAATATGAATTTTCAGAATTAACTTAAACTTCACTTAAACTTTATAAAATATTTTTCCGAATTTTTTAGAATTTTTTCAGAATGCGATGAAACAAGTTTTTATTGTCTCCATCATTCTAGATTTTTATATTATTGGCTTACATTCGTTCAGTTCTTCAGGGCAAAAATGTTGTGCTTCTTCATGATTATGTCTTTCTGATATCAGAATGTCGAAACTATCTTGAGCCTTCATTAACATTTTTGCTTTTTTCCAGGCTTATTAATTTTTCACCAATGCAATTATCGGCAGAAGGGCTTATGATAGAACATTAACGTATGCTTATAGTTGTGCAAATGGAACAGAAATATTATTTGGAGGAAGTTTTGATGATTTCAGAGGATGTTTTCATTATTCCCAAGCTTATTACTGGCTTAACTGACATTTTAAGCTTCTTATTAAAGTAGTTTTATTTTACTAAATTCGTTTTATTGGTTTAATATTTACTAATAATTAATATTTTATTTAATTAATTAATATTTTTTTTTCGTTTCTTTTAGATAAGCGATATTCTGCTATATATTTCATTTCACATACAATAAATAAAATTAAAATAAAGTCAGTTTAGCCAATTTTAAAGGAAACGTTTGGTCCTATTTTAACACTACACACTTTTAACACTTTTAACGCTTTATGAAGATGAAAACGGTCGAAATATTAAAAAAAAAGCAGAATTTATAGCTTGACAGGAGGAGTATTCGCTTATGACAAGTAAATTTTGTTTCATTGCTTTTTTTTCAATTTGAATTGTTCGAAGATCTTTTTTCATTATTAATACATTTAAAGTATTTAGGGATTTCATGATAAAGGCATTTAAATGATGAATCGACTGGGGCATTTATTTGGTAGTCTTTTGGTGGTGGCTGTATGAGCAGTTCGCATGTTTTTTTTATTTTTTATAGTTTTTAATATTGGCTCAATGGTTTTTTTATTGTGTCGATTTTTTATTTTTTGTATTTGGACACAAATGATAAAGCAGGAGGTTCTGTTTATTACATTACAGATGGATATCTTCATTATATATTAAAAAGACGCAAATCGTTCAAAATTATATTATATTATATTATATTTTATATTTATATTATATTTATATTATTTATTACGAGAAATTGATGTAAATTATGATAATCTGTCGATATCACGAATTTTTGAGACAGAATTTGAATGATAAATCTCGATTTTTGAATTCAAAGCATGACTTTTATTATTATTTAATTTTGCATTAAGGGAAAAATGGGTTTTAAACTATTAAACTATCTAAACTTTCTCCTAAGTGGCTTATTTTTCAATGAAATGAGAAGATCGAAAAGAATTGAACAATTTTCAATTATAATTGTTTATTTCATTAAAGACAGAATTTTTTTTTCTTTTTCTAGCTTAAAGTTTTCTAGCTTACTCTAGCTATGATTATTCCATTAATTTATTATATATTTATTCAATCACGAATAAATTATTAAATTTTGTTCTCCTTTTTCATATAGGTTAATAGTGGCCATATATTCTTTTTAAGGTTGTTGTCTAACTTGTTGCTAACCTCTTGATTTATCTGATAAATATCCATCGTTCAGTTTCGTCTGGATGTACCAATTTAACTTCCTAAATTTCGATCGAAGATATTTAAGGAACGGAAACAGTCCGACTATCAAAACACCAGCGTTAAATAGTGCTAAATAAACGGTAGTGTTTAATAGGTCTTAGCTGACCGGTGTGGAGAGTTACCCAATGTTTGAAGCGAAGGATTGGACAGCAGTTTCATTCGGTGGTAGCATTTTTAAATTTTTATGAATGAACTTTCAAGATTCTAAACTTTCAACAGAAAGTGATTAAGATAGTTTTAAAGAAGATTTAAGATTCGATTCAATTTTTTATTTTATCCATCGAAACTTATTAACTTTCTCTGAATATTTCTTTAGAATTTTTGAAAAAAAGCGTAGAAAAGAGAGTTGAAGAAAATAACTTTTGTTTGCGGTGTCTTTTTCCACCATAATCACATATGATTATTTTTTAAATATATGTTGGCGGCATTATTTGCTGTTTCGAAGGAGTCATAGCAGACAATTTTTAAGAAGCACGATCGGCGCTGAAGCAGTGGCGTGAGGAGCATGTTCGACGTTCGGAAGAAGTAGTCGAAATTTGGGAATTCGTATTAAGCAGATATCCAAGGTCGCTAGGTGATGAACTTTGGTTAATATATGAACAGGTATTTTCCATTTAATTCTTTTTTTTTACGAATTTTTATCGGTAAAATAAATTTATAAATTTATATATAAATTTAAATTTATTATTTATATGCTTCATTTTCGGGCTGAAATAAATTTCGCTTTGGATACTTCCAAAATTCATTCTCCAATTTCTGAAATAATTTTAAGGTTTGCATTGCTGCATACGATTGTGCTAGAATTGATGTGGCGGTTGAATGCATCCGAGCATTGCAAGAAAAATTTCCTCGAAGCAATCGCGTTCTTAAACTACAAGCAATGCGTTTTGAGGCAATTCAGAGGTATCTACTTTTTTATCGATTATATTTTTCTAAATGCTGATATTTTCATTATATTAAATGTTACATCCTCAAAAATCGTTGGGTTTTTTATTTTATTCTCTTACTTTAGGTATGATGACGCTTTCCACATTTATGAACAGCTCATTGAATCTGACCCAACGAATATGGTATAAATTCATTAATTTCAAAGATTTCTTCAGTAAATTGATGTAAATTGATTAGTTTTTATTTAATTTATTTTAAAAGTGAGAATCAGGTTTGATATCTATAAAACTTCTCATTATAGTCTTGTCGAAAAAGGAAAATCGCCATATTAAAAGCGAAGGGTGAAAAACAGGAAGCTATTCGAGAATTAAATGAATATTTGAAAGTTTTTCTGAACGATAGTGAAGCGTGGTTGGAATTGTCTAATCTTTATCTCCAGGAGCAAGAATATTCTCGGGCAGCACACTGTTTGGAAGAGCTTATTTTAATGAGTGTGAGCTACCGTTGCTACTTTATTTTTTACGTCGTTCTTTTTAATGTTTTTTGAGTCGTTAATCGTCGTTTTAAGAATTTAAATATTATTTATTCAATTATCACGAAATATTTTTAGCCTCATAATAGTCTATATCTTCGGCGTTTGGGTGAAATTCGTTATTCTCAGGGAGGTCAGGAAAATATGGAAATGGCAAAAACATATTTTGAACATGCTATTCGCACAAATCCAGGTTGCTTAAGGTCTCTATATGGACTATTGCTTGTAAGTGATTTTTTTATTGACAATTATTTTTAGTTAAATATTCTCTAATTCCTAAATTTTCATATATTTTACTTCTTATTTCTCCTTTTTTAATCTCTTCTTCCTTTTTTTCATTTAGACTTTTCAATTTTTTTTTAAGTGTTGTAATTGGTTATCACAAAAAGCTACCGGTTCAAAGAAGAAAGATTTGATACAAAGTGGTGTTGGAGTTATTGATAAAATCCTCTCTTGTTATGATAACGCTTCGGAAAATGTGAACTCATATATCAGCAAAGAAATGCAAACAGTTGAAACCCTTTTGAATCATTTATCCATGTCGTAGTAAATTGATTATTTTATTGATTATATGTTTGAACTAGTGGGTTGTTTAATACATAATTTTCTTCTGAAACGCAGAACGAGGCGAATGAAATGGAGTTCGGGAGACATTTCAACCTACTCCAGAGAAGGAGTTCCAATTGACTACTACAGCATTGATTTGTTTTTTATTTATTTTGTCCTTTATGGTTAAACCTTGCTATAGGATAGTTGATTTAGGACAGTCTTTAAGGATACGTCTTTAAGGAATTGTTTTTTATATTTCGTTAAAGAAAAAAAAATCTTTGAATTGAGGAAAGTAATTGAGGAAAATATTTTTTCGTGAATGCAAAAAATTGATGATTCTTTAACCATTTATTTTTTAATATTCCACATAAAATTATTTCTTTTTTTATCTTTATAAATTGTTTTGATGCAGATTGTTATAGTTTTTTATTCAGTTTACTAGCTGTTTTTTTCATCGAATAAAAAATGATTCTTTCACCGTCGTCACAAAATTTTTATTTCCATGCCCTTTATCGAAGTATAATAAATCATGAATCGTGAATATATAATTAATTTAGTCGTGTATTGCTTCAGCTAAGAGGAAGCGGTGTGGAATGGATTTCTACCTATTGAGAAGGACCTCAGTAAATAAATCTGCGATTTCATGGCTATTAAAAAGCTATCTAATCTATCTGTCCCTGTCACCAAGTTAGCACATCGCGCTAACAGCCACTGAAGCCAGCCAAGCCAGAAATAATGGGTGCTATTTAGCAAGAGAAGAAGAATACGGCACCTTCCCAGTATATTTTTTTATTTTCGAGGGCAGCAAGTGTTTCGTCGATATATAGATTATTCGAAAATCGAAATAATATCCGATAATGTTGGCCAACTAATGAATGGATTTCATTTGGCTCATTTATTGATTATCCATAGTCGAAAGACGTCTTCGTGTATGTCAATAATAGTTCGAGACAAAACGATATTCAATATATTGGCTATTGTTGGGATTGAATTTAGGTCGGCCTTCTTCGTATTGATTATCATTTTGGCTTGATGAGTTTCTCTCGTCATTATCACATATTGCACTGTGATATCTCAGTTGAGTCGATTTGCAGTTCAGCCAATAACATTTGCAAATGAAAGATGAAAGACAAGTGTCAAAAGATTTTCGGTTTCTTGGCAATTTTCACTTCATTTCAGCATTGCTGCTGAACGACGAACGCAAAAGATCGTTGATATCAAGAACAGGTTTCGAACGAAGATTAATTAGTGTTGATGAGATAATTAAAATTAATCAAAGTAGTGCAGCGACGATAGGATTAACATAAGATGAATTCTTCATCTTCTAACCATTACCATTACCATTACTGGTTAGGTTGGCTACAAGGGTAAGACGTCTCCAAGCTTCTTGGTCCGACGCCATCGCTAATAGTAATAAAAGCCATTCCTTTTTTTATCACTACATAAAGTGAATAATAGAATATAAATGATGTGGAATCTGGTCAATCTATTGAAAGCCTTGAGCCGAGCCAATTGACCGATCTATTTGTATAAATTTCTTAGTTCTTCTGGCCCTTGTTATTTCTGGCCTTGGCTGACTACCAGTGTGTGGTGTTTTGTGTGCTATCGCTTGCATATGGAAGTATAGCTTTTCCTTAGTACCACCCGTTAATCCACTCTAATACCGAATTTCCACATAAAAGACGAAATTACTACCCGGGTAACGGTAGCAAGAAATATATTCTTTCGATTGAGGAAACCTTTATGGAACCGTCGCGAAATCACCACTTTATTTTTAACGGTGGATCTGCTCTACTCAAGAAGAAGGAATTCAGATTTTATTTATTCTGACTTTTTGAATTTCAATTTTCATGTCGTTTCATGCTTAAAAAAATTTAGCAGGCTTTTAATAAAAAACGATTCTTAATAATAAGGCATTGTGGCACATTTTTTAAATGAGTACCATATATATATGGATTGTGAAAAAATCAAATCCGCTGTGAATAAATTATAAATTATAATAAATCAAACAAAATGCTGACTAATGTTTTAGTGAATTCTTCCATTTTTTATTTGAGCGGCAAAAAATATTTGCATCAAAACGATGCGTAAAATACAAATACTTCACAAATTTCTACGATGGGTAGTGGGAATATTAAGTAATTTACAGTGAATTTCAGTTGAATAAAAGCCAACAAAGAGAAAGGAAAAACCATTCATAATGCTTATTATGTAAAATACTTTATTTAAATCGCTATAAGATACTTTATTTAATCCGCTGTCCATTTTATTTTCAAGTTTTTTTTGCTTTTTGCTGAATTCTACGGCTAAACAATGGCAATTCGGAGATTAAATTCGTTTCATGAACCACAATCCAAATGCAAGAATATTGAAGAAGGAGAAGGGATGTACAAAAAATATGGCGGAAATCCATCAATCATAATTATTATGCATCAAATTTGTATAACAGAGGAGATCCTTCAATAAATACTAACGACAAGAAAGGCTCTTGTTGTGTTATGTTAGTCGAAACGTTAACGTTCACAACGTCGACGTCGCAGCAACAAGCAATATGTACAGTACGACCACGATTTACAACAACGGCTATCGAATTCAGGTAGAGGTCAATGGACATCTATAATTACTAGATTGCACTTTAATACTAAGCCGTTTCTAGCAGAGAAAGTGATGGACACCTTCGAACTTAAACTATTACAATATATCCCTAAAATTTCTTACATTTGAGCAAATTTTGCTTTCTTATCGTTTTTATTTGCATGGCATTTTCTATATTCTCTACCGTAACGGAAATTTTAACGAAATGCGAAAGATTTCTTCTCTTCATAAATTTAAATATAATTGGTAATTAACCATTCATTATAATCATAATTACAAATACAATCACTAAAATAATTAAAATGCATTAAATATGGCAAAAACATCGAACTGCGCCCACGCTTACTTTTTTGGTCTCTTTTTTCATTTTTTCTACTCGTCAATATACTTTGTTTGCATTTGTTGTAAGATGCCAGCAAAACTGAATTTACCTTTTATTTTTAAAATTATCAAAAAAGCAATAAAAGAATGAACAGTTTTCCAGGTTTGTTGATTTCTTAGTCTTTATTAACCACTGTGCTTTCCTCGCAGAAACGTGAGCATAAGCAGGCAAAATAATTAAAAAGGCCACCATAATAAGGAAAATGGAGGTACAGATGAGAAACTATGAGAAATAAGAAATTACATGCATGAGAATTCTAGGCAGCAACACATTTTACGCGTAGAAAACCTCGCTAAAAGAAAATCCGCAAATATTAGCAATTTTTAGCGAAATTTTTATATTTGTACACTTAAAGCGTTTATTTTTTCCATAATGCAGATCTGCTGCTGATATTGATCAGTTTGTAAGGACCTGAAAGGCACAGACATCAGTGATAGTGATTAGGTGCATTTTTAAAAATTTTTTGGCCTTTCTGCAAAAACGCGCATTTGCATTTGAATTCAATTAAGAATGTTGAAAACTGGCTTGTTTTCACTTTTTTACGTGTTGTTAATAAACTTGGCAAGTAATGCGTTCTTTTTTCATCGAACATTTTTGCAATAAACTGCTTTTTCTTGTCACCAGCTGATAATTATAGAAATCCAAATTTATTCCCAACAAACGAGAATCAAAGCTGCAAAAATGTATATAAGTTGGCTTTCTAAAATTATGGCTATGGCTCTATTTGAAGAAACTTGCAAGTATAGAATCTACTGCGTTGTATAAATCACTATGTAATCGCTAATATCTTTTTTGTAGAAGCAGATAAAAAATTTGATAAAATTTATAAAAACAAAATTGAAGCTATCATCTCGCATTCATTGTGCACGAAGAACAAAAAGTAAAAGAAGGCTTAAGACGATAAAAATCGAGTTATTTAGCTGAGCAGATTTGAGGCGAATTTCGAGTTTCGTTATGGTCGAATAGATTTACATATATTCATTCGTCGTACAACTTTCATCTGTTTTCATAATAAGATTATGGTTATCTCATCTTGGATTTGGCTAACTTATGAATTGACTTTATCAGCTGTAGGCTGCTAACGAAATTTCGATTTTTTGCCTCACACCTCATATGCGTTCCATCATTTTTGCTTTAATGGTTTAATAGCTTGAGTTTTTAATACCATTAACACCGTTATTGAAAATTAACAAACGTTTTGTTGATCTTGATTCTCTATATTTCTAATTTATTATTTTTTCGCAGTTAATTTCGGAATTTATTCCTTTTAATTTTTCGTGCATTTCTTTACGGTGAACTCCTAGTTATTGGTTTTTAATTGTTAGAAGAATTCTTCGAAAGTGGCGTCTCGTTATGCACCAACTCGTAATAATTTATGAACAGATTAATGTATTATTTTATTTATTACTAATTTAAATCAATTTATTTTGTTTTTATTAAAATTCCATTTATTTCGACAACTCATTTATTAATTTTTTCCATATCATTTTAAAAATTTTAATTTTAATGTGGTTTTATTAATTAATTCATAATGAATTAGATTCGTAAAAAATAATTTTTTCCTTCTTTATTTTATCCATAGTTGTTTTTTATATTTTTATAGAATTCTTATTTTTTAAGTTAAAGTTAAATTAATTTTTATAAAATTCCATTTTTCTAGTATTATTTTTTGCAATATGTCGTAGAGATTCACATAATTTATCAAAGATTCTTTCCAACTGCTTATAATTTAATTAACTTTTAATTCTTTATTCGAGTAAAGTCTTATGCGTCATTATGCATTCTTATATTACAATTAAAAGTCTGGAAGCAAAACGACAAGATGGTTGTCTGCTGATTAAATTCACTTTATTTTTGAAAAGACCTTTCAGAAATTTCACAGAATTTGAACCAATTTGAATTTAAAAAGTCTTTTCTAAAATGAAAACAATTAGAAGTTCTTTGCGCAAACATTTTTGAAAACTGTAGTAAATTTTTAATTTTTGACAATTCAAGAATTTGAACCAAAATTCTTCCTTTCTTTTAGAATAAGGGCAATGAGCGAACTATGCCGCTGGTGGTTCACCAGGATTTTATAATAGCACATGCAGACATTGGAAGGAAAAAAATCCACGAAATTATATTGTTTCTTAATTATCATAACTTATAAATTATTATAACTACTTATATAACTTTGTTTGTTCTAAATTAAGGTTTTTCATTTTAACCCACATATTTTTTCCTATGCATTGCATGACAAATTTACTGTACTAAAAAATTGTTGCTGACAATATTTTATTCATAATATTCATTACATTAAGCGAAACTAAACTTCGTTTAATTTCTATCAATAGGGGCGTACTTTTACACAACACGGATATATTTTAGGATTTGAGTCATAGGAGTTGTTATGATACAGGTAATTATCTAAAAATTACCTAACTACAAGCCTATGCAACACATCCGTTTTACTCTTCCATCCAGAATACATTGATTATTTACCTAACTGTTCTTCACATTTATTAGTGAAAACAAAAAATCCTGGAGCGCATTTGCAAAAAGACATACAACGGCCTCTGAAGCACTTAATTTTTAGAACCATATTTTCACCACATTCCGTTTGGGACATATCAGCGTCAAAACCATCGATCGTCTGAAAATTTCACAGTTTTATTAATTTTATAATTTTTATACAATTTTTCATAATTTTTTAATTTTTTATACAATTTTAATTTCTATAAGGAGGAAAATCAAAAAAATTAAAATTAAAAATTATTAAAATTTAAAAAAATAAACTTACAATAAATAAAAGAAAGCAAAGAATTGTTATTGTCAAATGAAGAGAACTCATCAAGAAAAAAATTTTTTTAATAATTGATTAAATTTTTTTATTCGTATTTATAAAATTTCTCATTATAGATAATTATGGTAAATGAATAGAAATATCGGCGATAAGGATGGAAAATTAAAAAGATAACAGTACAATAACAATAGATTTGTAATGGTTTTTAACGTATAATTTTTGATATTTAAGGACGCAGACATCATCATCTCGGCATATTTTACATTCCATATCTGCAAAAAAATAAGGAAGGACAAAAAAGGACGAAGCTTGGATGGAGGAAAATGAATGAATATCTTAGAAACCTTAGGCTTAAGTGCATTCAGAATTAAGAAGAAATTGGCTGACTGAAAGACTCTGCAACAGAAAAATACTCTCATTTCTTACAGTTTTGTTGAAATAGATTTTCATAAAAAATAAAAAAATTGCTTAAATACGGTGTGTTAAGAGATAGTAGGAGGTATAACTGCGCCTAAGAAACATTAAAAGAAAGCGAGGAAAGTTTTACATTTTGAGCTTTCGAGTGCCTAGAGGAGCAAGATTATGTAAGGAGTGCCAGTTTAGTTTAAGAAAATGCATGATAAACCTCAGTTCCATATTAGTGGAATTTATCATTTTCGCCTAATTGCTTAAACGGTTTTTATATCTAGCCAAATAGCCAAAACAGATGAACTGATCTTTTCTCAAATTCGTTCGAGTTTTTTCAAAGAATTCTGAAAGTAAAAATCAGGGAACCTAAAAAATAGACTAACGCAGACGATTTTTTCAACATGGCCCACCATATTTCACCAATTCTTCATATGCCAGAATAACATATTGCTTTCTCTCTTTGTAACTGGCTGCTCGTTTAGGCTTAGGCTTAGATCAGTTGGCAGCAAAGTAAGAGAATTTTATAAAACGTTCTAATCTAGATTTTTTCGTACATACCCTATATTTATGTTCCGCATATCTGTAAAAATACTTTTCGTATAAATACTTTTATATTGCATTGCTTTTGCAAGAAAAAGTTACCGGAATTACAGAAATTACAAGCACTACGCTTTTGCCTCAGGGCTTAAATAAAACTTGGATAACACATATTCCACCCTCAACCAGTGATATTTCCGTCGTCATCGCATTAAGTCAAAAAAAGTTTTTAATATGATTACATTACGAGAAAATTTTTAATACGATTACGAGAAAAGAAATTTAAAGTAATTCTCAAAATGATCAACTATAAATCATTGTTTTCTAATGCATTTTTTTTATAGATTAATTTCATTCTTTTAAATTTCTAATTTTATGTCATTCCTAAGAAAAAAATTGACAAAATATCATATGGAGCGAAAATTTAAAAAATGCTATTCAAAACTGTTTTAAATTTTATAAAATAATTCAGCGCAATAACAAATTTTCATAACAAATACCATGGAAAAGACACAAATTAATAAGAAACATAAAAAAATCCATTTATTCCCGTAGTAATTAGAAAATTAGTATAACTTAGTGAACATCAATATATTAAAAAATACAAAATATTAATTTATCAAATATCAAAAAAAATAACTTTCAAATTAGAAACACAGCGGAATAAATTGCCTAGTTATCACCTAAACTTCCCAAACTTTTCAATTATTTATCAAATTCACTAAAAAATGAAATTCTTAAAAACTCCAACAATAAATTCCAATAAATAAAGAGGCAAAATCATTTTATTCCCACAAATTATCGTCTCTTTATTCATTTTATTAAGATTATTCATTACATAGATTATTCATTGAAATCAAACAATACTATGCGCAATATTATAATACTATTGAAATATAAAAAAATTTAATGTAATTGATATTAATTTATCTGAAAAATTCAATTTTTTTCTGCTTTCCCAAAAAATCTAGTAAAACTAAAAAAAACAAAAAATTCACTGCTTTATTTCAATTTCGATCCGTGCTCCTTTTTCGAACAGTTGATTACAAGAAATATTTTATCATATAAACAATAAGTTTTATTTATTTACGGTAAAAAAATTCGCAATTGAAAATAACTAATGAACAAAAAAATAACACACTTTTTCAATTTGCTCTTCCTGGAATTTGAACCAAAAAATATATTAAATCAAACCATTTTTTCAGAAAAAAGCAAAAACATTTTGAGATTTTCAATTATCAGAGCCTTGAAAAAAACTTTCACCTATGAACAATAAAGAATTGAGGAAATTGAATAAAAATATAAACCATAGCTGTAGATGAATTTGATATTTAAATTCTATCGAGAAAATGAGCCAAGAAAACAATTAAGTGTGAGCGGATGGTGTTGAATTACAGTTGCGTAACGAATTAACATAATGGATTCTCTCGATTTTATATCCACGAGAATGTTCGAATTCTAAAGGCAGATAGATGGTTGTAAAAAATAAAATTTATACAAAATAAAATATAAAAAAATTTAATGTAATTGATATTAATTTATCTGAAAAATTCAATTTTTTTCTGGTTTCCCAAAAAAATCTAACAACATATTTGCCATATAAAATTAATTAAAAGTATCGAAATCAAAAAAATCAGCCAAAACAGCAAAAGAAAAAACTTTTTTATGTTCTCTGGTAAAATCAATCTAGAAATTAATTCGAAAAAATGGAGATATAGAAACATATAGAATGGAGATATATAAATTAAATTGTGCTAAACTGTCGAAATTTAGTGCAATTCTTTAAATAATTCACCAGAAATTATATCAATTATTAATTAATTATGTTAACCATCAATGAATGGCTTATGCTAAATCGAAGTGACTAATTCATTTAATAACATGTTTTCTTTTTTATGAAAAAATCCGTAGTATATAACAAAAAATAAATAAAAAGAAGAAAATTTTATAAAAAATATTATTTTGTGCATCAATAAAAGAAACCACTGATAGCATCATCGGCGTTCCAACCATTTTGTTCGATTAGATACTTACATATCACATATCCTGTCCGATTTACACCATGAGTGCAATGAACACCTATCAGGTTCTCTAAAATTAACCATATAAAAGAAAAAACTCAAAATGCAGATGCAAAATCGCCATAAAAAACATAGAAAATATAATTAATATATAAAGATGATAATTTGTTATTAATATATAAAGATGATAATTTGTTATTTGATAATTTGTTTAACAACAAGAAAGGATCTGATGAAAATAGCTAATTAACAAACCCAAATATTATGGTAAAAAAAATGCATTTTATTTCCACAGCTTAATACTTTTTCTTTCGTCTAATGCACGCGTTATTTCAGGTATGGTGAGCTTCAGTGACTATTATTGTGAGTCATTTAGATAATTTTTTTTCATCATAAAGCCATCTGAGGTTAAAGATGCCAGAACAGCGCTCAAAGCCCATCAGAATTTCATTATTTGGATTCATTTTTAACGACAATTTTGCTCTTGCAAAAGATAGGTCGAACCCATTTTATCAATTTTAACCAAAGCAATGTACCTCAATCAAGCACTCCTTTTTGGTTTAAAATAATGATCGGTATATGTAGAATCACACAATATATCAGACAAAACAATATGCTGTGATAAAAATATGCTTTACCGTTATCAATATTCCTTTGTAAGAAATCGTTAACTATTTTAACAAAATGTTCGAAATTTTCACGCTGTCTGTGTATATGATTCCCTCGACATTCTATTTTCACGTATTCAATACCCAAATGAGACCATTCTTCAGAATTATAATATCGTTTAGTAGCTGTCAAGTCGATTATAAGACCTATCTTTTTACCGAGCTGTTCTACCTAAAAAGTGGATTTTATTTGAAAATTAAAATTAAATTAAAAATTAAATAAAAAAAATTAAAATCAATGAAAATTCTTTAAAAATAGTAAAATGAATGAAAAAATACTAGCACTTACGTAATGAACCAATGTTTTAACTCCGAAAAATTGCGCCGGACCAATATTTGATTTCTGGTTGAAAAAGTGGGAATGCAAAGGAGTTTTGAAAGGCAAAAATCGCGTGCCTGGAATGCTTCCACCAATCGCACGGTAATTCGCCCATCTTCAACAGATTTAATTAATCTCATAAAAAATAATGAAAACGCATATTCTACTGAGGAATACTAAAATTCCTATGTTTATTTAAAAAAAAATTAGAAGAAATTAAATTAAGAAATCGCAATTTCGAGCTCAGCAAATAAAGAAAGGCAAATGAGCAGTGCGAGCACTGTGGATCGAAAATGTGAATTTTAAAAGGAATTGTACGCCAATATTAAAAAAAAATTTAAGCATGCAAATTAGTTTAATTATATCACACAAAACCATCTTCGCTTCGCAATATTAGGGGAAAATGGAAAATACCGTTTAACTGATCGCGATGAACGCTGATTTTCCGCCTTTATCTTCTCCAACTTTGACATCGTAAATTTGTTCCAAGAGTCCCCAATAATTCGAACAACGATTCCTGAAACACTGGTAAAAATGCTCTGCCTGTATAATGTCTATCGACTGCAATTCAACAACCAAAGTAATGCCAGTTAGCATTGGTATTACCTTGCTTAATAATAATAAATCTCAAAGCAGTAAATAAACGAAAAATCATACAGTTGAATGGGTAGAAATATTTTTTATCTGTGAATCACATTGTATTTACTACGCAGAATAAAGTGAATGACTCGGGAAATCTGGGAAGTTGTCGGCGATAAGACTGACAGTCGAGAACCCATTAAATCGCTGGTTCCACTTAAAGTTACGGCTTCGAATTCGAATATTCGTCAAAGAGTTATCTATGAATGCATATGTAAATACGTATGCGAGTGCGCACGTGTCCGAAATTTTAGCTATAGAAAATATTCACCTGAAGCATGACAATGGCAAACAGTGAATTCGACGTTTGAGGAGGCCGAAAGCGAATCTTACGCCAAAAACATGTCGTGTCGTAATAAAATTTAGCGTATGAACTCAATGACTAGAACGACGCAGGGAGTATACTACTGCGTACGGTTCGAAAAGATGGATGAGGTGAAACATTAATGAAGCCAACGGAACGTGAAGTGTTCCCATTAGCCAGTTGGACTGCCTATCTGAACATATTTAGTACGTTCCCGCTTGTTGCGCTTATTTCTGTCCATTACACCTTCGGGGCTGTGTTGTGGCACCAGCCCAGCGGTCATTAGCATTTTACCTCCTCTCTGCCACTCCTCTGCACATCATATGAAACATTTACGAAAACCACTGTCACTGACAATTGCCCAAAGTGAATTTAAATTAAATTAAAGCTGCGACCCAAAATGCATGCTTTGCAATGCGACCTATTCTACAGATCGAATTAGAAAAATTCGGCACTTTCATATTTGGAAAAGCTCGGCACTTCCAGCATCGTAAATTATAAAAAACGAGGATTTGTAAATGCGATTTTATTTTTTCGCTGATAATAAAAGTTTAAGCGTATTCAATATTAATTTAATATTACGGATAACAACAAAGTTGAACGAGGCGATGAATGGTAATTTTCATATTTTCATTCCATCGTTTCATTATTCACAGCCAGTGGAACTCACCTAAAAGTGGTAAATATTAACTACTTTCGCTTTTTTCGCTTTTATAACATATTGTTTCGATCAAGGAAACTCCACGGAACTCCATAAAATGCGCTTTTTGTTTCTACCATTCATTCGGGCTGTATGTTTGAATCACGGATAACAACCACAGATTATGAGCACAGTTGTTATGCTAGTGAATCACAGAATCACTGAGCAGAATATGCTAAATTAAAAGAATGCCATTCCTTTTTCCATCGTCTAAGTCCATATATCGCTGGCCCCTCTATAAGCTCAAAATCTTTTCTGATTCAGTCCAGCTCTTGATTAGCCCTTATGACGCCAACCATCATAGGCTCGGCAAGTATCGTAATATGCGTCAATTCCTGTGGTGGACGACGGAGAATATGCCCTAACCAGCGAAGACGACGCTCTATTTCATTTCATTTCATTTTTAATGCAGGTGGTATTTGATACAATCATGTGCGATTTTATCCACTCGATGAGTCCGTAAAATCTTAGACAATCGAAGATTTTTAAAGTCTAAAGTACTTCTTCAACTGGCAAGGAATCGATAAAAATTTTATCAGCATTTTATTTAATTCTCGCTGCAGTTGTTAACACATTTAACATTATTTGCATTTCATTACAATCAGCAAAAAGGACTACGTCATCAGCGTATTCAAGGTCTGTAATGCTATGCTCTGGACTAATTTGCATACCTCTTGTGTGCCGAAAAGCAATACCCAGTCCATTACCCAGTCTATCGCATAATTGAATATTGTAAGGGAAAGGACGCACCCTGATGGACATCAGTTCTTATTTCGAAGGAGTCTATTAGTTACCCATATACACAGAACTGTACCAGGGTATGCTGGTAAAAAGCCTTTATGAGCCGAATGATTTTCTCTAGGATACATTCCATTTTCCAGAGCGCTGCTTTATTAATCGAGTCGAAAGCAACTATCGAAAAAGCAAAGGATGGTAGGTTTCTGGTATTTGAAGCGATGTTCCAGTGCCCTTCTTGGTTAACGCAACCACATTCCGGATCCAGTTTGCTTAGGGTACATTCTGTTATTTCGTATTGCCACCAGTCTATTTAGAAGAAAGGAAGCGAAAATTTTTTCGGAGACATCTAATAGGTTGATTGATTCCTCGATAATTGTCGCAGTACATTCTATCACCTTTCTTTCTCAAAAATTGGAAGCAAATCACTTTGCTCCAGTCTTCTGGTATTATTTCCTTTTGCCATACCAGAGAGTAAATTTGTTGAGTTATGAATGATGATGGATAACATTTGAAGAGTTCAGTCCCTCTTCAACCTCGAAGGCCTTCTTTTCTAGGAGTTTTTTGACCTTAAATTTCTGGATTACAGAGATTATTTCCTCTTCTATTTGCGGTTCGCAATATCAAACATATAGCTCGATGAACGAATAAGCTATATAAATGGCGCATCATGGTTAAGTTTGATATCATAAAATTCCATTTTATGAGGCAATTCTTAATGGCAGACGCCCTATTAATATCCTACATCATTTCACTGACCCCTTCTCGAGTTATAATTGCTTTACGAAGAAGGCAAAATAATTTCCTATTATCACCTAACTGAGCTCCCGTCTCCATTTTCAAGGCCATATTGTTCCAATAGCGATTTTTGTCACATCGTGCTACTGTCATTAATTCTTCGAAGTACCTGATAGTCAGGTTCTCCTGACATTGAGCATTGGCAGCTTTTTCACATATTTGGACAGTTAATTTTCCGACACCTAAATAGTGCGCTTCCTACTAATATACTAGTATACTCTAATGTGGAAGTGGATAATTTGATCCGCCATTTCAGAGATGTCATTCATTTCACTGAGATGCTTCAATAATACGGTTTGATAAGTGCTTATTCCCGGATTTTTTTAGTTTGATATAGTTTAAAGGTCGTGGAATACATTGTTTCTTACTATTCCTCAACTTTTTTTTCTCAGTTTGGTGAATCTTGGCTCGATCTATGAACATGGTCTGACCTATATAGGTTAGCATTTTCAGCGCCGATAGTAACGACTATCTAGTAGAGAACTCTTACAGCGATGACTGACCCATATATAGTCAATTCTGATTGGAATATTGGTTGTCCGGAATTTCCCACGTGACTAGATACCTAAAGCATATATTAGTAATAAAGATGCATGCTGTTGTGCAAAATGAAGAAGGCGTTCTCCATTGGCGCACTGGACCTCGACATTATATTTGCCAATCACCGAATTCATCGTAACGGTATCATGATCTACGTGCGCATTCCAGTCTCCTTCGATTATGACCATGTCACCTTTCGGTAGGGATGTTGTTAACAGTTGAAGTTCAGCATAGAACTTATCTTTATCGCGGTCATCTGCGGATAAAGGTGGGGCATATACACTGATGATTGAAATATTGCAGAATTTTTCCTTGAAACGCTCGTAGGCCATGCGTTTATTTACTGGCTTCCACTCAATCAGAACGGATCGATTCTTATCAGATATGACAAGCCATTCCGCCCCGAGTTATCCGAGATATCACGATGATATAGCCAATCTCAGAACCAGGGTCCAATATAAGAAAAATGGACCTCCAATGAACGAGCCGCATCCACGCGGTATTTAGAAAGGGTGTGGACAGTGATTGTTTGGCTTTCAACATCCATTAGCGCCCTGACGTTCAAAGCAATCAGCATCTCGCAATCATTCAAAATATTAGCGGATAGGTTTTCGCCTTCCTTGATGAGTTTTGAATAATTATCTCGGTTCGTGAGCATGTCTATGTTCACGCTTTGGAACTATTTTATTATTATTATACCCGAATCGTGCATTTATGGCATGTACTAGCGGAGCGATCAGAATTATCATTTGTGTTGGAATACGTATACATCGTAACTTGACTCTTTCAGCATAGAGTCACTTGAGGTAAACATTCAAATGGGTCCCCAGCAGCCACCCGGTTTTTCATACCATGACAAGTTTTTTTCTGCCAAAAATAAGAAAATTGAATGTAAAAAAAGAGAAATTTAAAAACAATTAAAAAAATAAAATTTTAAGACGAAAAATAAAATGCTGCTTGCTGCTCTTATTGCTATTATTATCAATAAGCAAAAAAGAAAAATAAAAAAAATAAATAAAGAGGGAAGACTAACAGCTTCTTATTATATAGTAAGGTTTAATTCAGAAATTGAGAAACAATTTAGTTATAAATTAGGAATATTTTGTTGAAAACGATCGCTCGCTAATAAAAAATTAAAAAAACTAAAAGAAGCGAATCTAAAATCTAAAAATTCTAAATAATTTTTGTGGAAATTTTCGTTAATTTCTGTATCACTAAATGCGAAATGCGAAAGAGACAAAAGGCTTCGATTTTCTGGTTCTCGAATCTTTGAGTGAATCTTAAAATCATTTTAAAACAACCGATTGCATTGGCAGTCCAATAAAATTCACGCAAAAACTCTATATTTATTGTCGGAAAAACTGAAATAATAAGCGTTTTTCCATCATAATCATAAGTTAGTTATAGTCATATTTTAAGTTAGTTATACTGGATTTGTATTTTTGTATGCAAAAAAAATTTTGATGCCATATTATGACTTCCACACTAATAGGGATTATTAAACCAGTAAAGGAGAGACTTGAAAGACTCCTTCAAGATTCTTTCTTTTGATAACAAAGGAATAACAAAGGAACGACTTCGATATTGTACGATACCAAAGGACGACTCCTCGAAGAAAAAAATCTTGCGATTGTAAATGTGCATCAATTTAATCGAATCAACGAACGATGATTGGATTGAATAGAAATCTCTAAATGTGACAAGAAGAAAGGAGGAGGAAGGAAAATACGAAGAAAGAACAAAGGGGGAAAGAGGAAGAATCTTTAAGTTGATACATGAAGCGAACGAAGCAATCATCATGTTGATTATATATAAAAAGGAGATGAATGAAATGGAGAAATTGACATTAATCTCGATCCAAATGTCATCTAAAGAATCACTTGCAGTTCTGGAACAGCTTTAATGGTGTTGTTCACTCCCAAGCTATCCCAGAAATCCAAAAAACTACTTAATTTCCTGCCTAAAAGGAACAGCATTGCAAGCCATAAGAAGTCATGACAAAGCCCCAGAAAATTATGAAATCGTACGAAAAATGCCGACCGAGAAATATGGTGACTTCGACTATTATTAAATTACTATATAACGAACTACAATCCATCAAACAAAATGAAAAAAAATGGTATAGTAGAAAAGTAGAAAAAATGGAAAGAATTTTTTGACAATTAGAGGCGCTAGGAGAAAACCTAGAACACTTTAGCATTGAAATCGAAAGCTGAATACCACGATAGGCAAAGTATACCATCAAAAAATAGTCGATAGCCCATGGTCAGTATCAAAGCTCAGAAATCAATTTTCATTTAGACTCATATGGACAAGAATTAGTATATTCTCTAAAAAATTTAGATAATATGAATTCATAAATTCACTGGAAGCTTTTCCAAACCGAAGAAATTCGTTATGAAAACTGCATTCCACTGCAAATTTAAGCGGCGAAATAATTTTTTATAGAGCATGGAGCAGATAATACATGCGATAGAAATTCATTCTCGTTTAAGGTTATGTTATGCTAATTATCCAATTAGTATATTTAAAAAAGTCCATAATTCGTCACTTCACTAATCTGCTGGCTCTACTGGTTTTTGTAACTACCTCATTAGTAAGTTTCTTTTATTATTTTCAAATTGGAAGAACTTGACTGAGAAAGCGATAATTGAACAATTCGCTTGTTAATAATAGCGAAGATCTAAGGCTTTAAATTTAAATTTTAAAACAATTTAAAACTGTTTTAAATTTTATTATAAAATTGGCATAAAATTCGCAGGTGAGCGAAATAGATTCTTTATTTATCAACCATCTTCGGGCCTTGTTTTACATTTATATGTCTCTAGACTGGCATGCAGCTGGCATGCAACTGGCATACTAGCTTCAATATTATTCTGTGCTCTTTGAACATAAAAAAATTTAATGTTGCTGTCTTTTCTATTTTTCGAATATTATATAACCGTTTGCAACTTCAAATATTGCACGAATCATTAACTGTGGATTTCAAAATTATAGTTCATACGATAACCATTGCGTTTTGGGTTTATAACTACACTGAATACAATAATCAGTATGCATAAAATTCGCCTTCATCTCCTTTAATGAATTCTTCGAGTGGCAAACCGACTAGTGAATCAGCAATTGGGAATTTTAAAAATTTGCAAAAAAACAGCGGTTATATGTACCTTTAAAAATCATGAACTGAAGCTCCTTAAATTTATACTTTCGAAGAAAATTTTTAAAAAGAATTCGATAATTTTAAAATTAGTGAACTTTTGGAAAAAACTATCAATTAAGAGTTATTTGCATCTCAACCCTTCTTTCGGCTGCTAAGGGGAATTTCAGTTGCAATTCGTTTTCTTTGTTTTCAACAATTTTTGCTGCCTTCTTTCGCATTTGATGTAAATTGCAATTAAATTTATTATAAATTCATAAATTATAAATTGTACCTCAAAGAAGTACCCATTATATATGTCCTTAGCCGATATGATATGTCTGATTATTCATTTGGTATGGCGCAAAAAGTTAAAGATGCTATTATGGTCCTATTACGCGTGCATGTGCGTTGAATTTAGTTCCACAAACTATGTCACCACAATCTTCTTGTCACGGTTTAATAACACATTGTCGAAATATAATAGTGTTTGGGGGATCGCCTCGAAGAAGGTTTATATTTTGAAATGCCTACGGCAACTAAGCATCTCATAAAAGTAGAAAAATTATCAAAAATAGTATCGCGAATTTTGTAATGTTAAATAGACGAATAATTGAAGAATAACGTCAACACTTATGTTCATTTGATACAAATTGAAAAGTGCAAGTAAAAGTCAAAAATATTCACTCATTTCGTAATAATTAAGAAGAATTCTGAGAAAAATTTCTACCAGAGAATCGCTTGGTATCATCACTACCACATTTTTTAATTTTTTGATAGATTTACAGTAGGCAGACGCTCGAACGATAATTTAAACAACTATTACTCGTCAATAACCTATTCTGGCCATTTATTGAAAATATAATCATTTTTTTGTAATTTTCCTCTTCTATATGCTTGTTTGATTTCATTTGATTTGATTATATATGACTTGATATTCTGATGAAATAGATCCTCTTATACGAATTTAGCTATCGTAGGATGAACCGAATCCTCGTCTCTCAGCATAATAATCTTTGTCCACCAGCCTCTATCTTATTAGCAATGAAGTTTTTGAAAAAACATGATACTAAATTTTAATACCATTTTTTTTAAATTTCTATTTGTTATGTGAAAAACGAATGTTCTATGTTGTTGAAATACTTGACTTTTTACAAATTTAGTATCTAAATTATCAAATCTATATATAAGAAAAAAAAGAAATAATGTGCTCGCATTAAATTATAAATTCTAATCCATTAAAGAGCAATAATCAAACGATTTAGTTTCCGTCAAAGATGCCAATTTAGCCAAAACTAATATGGTTATTCGAAATTTCCGAGGTACTGTGAAATCATAAATATAGATTAATTCTTAGGCTCATGTCGTTTTCAGTTGACGGGTAGCTGCTAATTTTTACTGCATATCAAAGCTTAAAAATTAACTATATGGAAACATAATGCATATTAAGCCATCTTAATTAAAATTTATATTAATTTGCTGCAGATTTAATGCCGATTAGATTCGCTTTTTGCTTTTGAAAAAGTCATTAAGCACCTCAGTAGCTTAACATTTTAGTAAATAAGTGGTTAGTAATTACCATCTCTGCTAGATGGTTTTTAATACGCCCAAGCAACTTTGTTAAACTATCAACTGGGCAAGAAAAAAGGAATTATTTGAAAAATTTATCCCTGCCAGATGAAAAAGGTGAAATGTGATATGATAATATGATAAGCAATACGATAAGCAATTCGCTCTGCCAGTTTAAGCTTAATTAATTTGCTTACTCGTAAGGGATTTGATTATCCTTCGGTAATGCATTCAAATTTGTGTTTGTTTTCTGAATGAGATAACGCTGTTACTGGATCGTAAAAAATTGTCTTATGTAGCCTTGATAAATAAATAGTATGAAATTTTTGAATTAATTAAGGTGGTTCAATCTGCTTTTTGGAAAATGGTTGTTCATTTATGGAATCTTTGCTTAAATAGTGCGACAATCATAACTTGTACTCTGCAAACATTGATCAATAGCTTCCTTCTGCTAGCTTTCTTCACTGATAATAAACTTCGCTCGAATAGCAATTTATTTCTCCTTATATCCTTGACATTTACCGATTTATTATATTCTGTTACAGAACTTCCCTACGTTATATATATGCTTTGTGGTTGGGCTGCAGAAGGTGAGTCCTATAGATGATATATGATTTTTATTAATTCAATTTCAATTTTTTGACCTCAATTTATTAATGATTTTCAGAAATTTTCTTTATACGAAAAACTTGAAATAGAAATTTATTTATTCATCGACTTTTTCGGTTTTTGATGAAAGTTGATTGTGTCAAGAAATTAAAATAGCACAAAAGAATACGAATTTCTGAATTAGAATTTTTAGGTGATATTTATCATTATAATGTAAAAACAATGACCTATCTTGGAAGTATACCTATGGTATTCATGAAAGCCGACATCGTTCTCACAACTTTTATCGCCGTGAGCCGGGCTTTAGCACTCTTTTTCCCTTTAACATATTTTCGATCAAATAAAAAGCGGTATTAACCTTTGAATATTTAATTATTTAAAATGGAATAATTCGTTTATTGCCGTAATTTATATGAATTATGTGCCAATTGTTTTGGGCATTAAGGGATAGTGCATATATACCTAAATGAATAAATAAGAATTGTAACAAGAATACGAAAAAATATTTGATAGTTTTTGGACAGATGAAAAATAGTTTTTAGAAATGTTATTTTACAAAAATATTTAGAAATATAATTTTCAGAATTTTCATCTTGATGCTTATTTTGACGACATCAATCGCAATGTTCGACATAATAGTTTGTTATTCATTTAAGAAATCCAGGGAAAGTTATGATTGTTTTTCATTTGGTTGCTGTATTGGAAAAGTAAGCTATTTGCTTTTTTTAAATGGCATAAAACACAAAGTTAAAAATTCAATCTATGAACCTCTTTAAGTGACGAATCGAATAAAAAACCTTTCTTCAATTTATTTTGATTGCTTAATCTAGTTAATAATTTATGTAGCTGATTAGATTTTTGATCTAATATTTATCTAATCCTCTAACAGATTCATAATTAACGAATGAAAACTGTGAAAGTTCGCTCGAAACTTTGTCTTTTACCTTTTTCTTTGTATATTGGCTAAACTTTAGAAATGTCTAAACTGATGTCTAATTTTGAAATTGAGCGATAATTATTTTATTCTCATAAATTACGCATAAATGCTCTAATCAGGTTTCTAACTGAAGATTAAAATCCATTCATTCATAAAGCTTTATTAAATACGATTATATGAAATTATGAAGGCGTAAGTATTTCACGCTGTCATTTATATTGCGTAAATAAAACATTTGTTGAAGTATAAGATTTGTCGAGGAAGAATTCATCGATAAATTAATGAGCTAATTTTACTTAAAAGAATTTCTAAATGGTTTTTCGAGGTGAATTTAACTAAAATTGAAAAATTCGCGCAAGAATTTGGGTTTTGAAAGTCATTGACAAAAAATATAGATATTTTTTCAGAATAATTTTTTCATTCCAAAAGATTATTATAGATTTATCGTATCTATCGAGGTGCAACAAATTTAATTTTTCACCTATTTACCTGTTTTATAACAATCGCTGTTATTATTTGCCCACGAAAAACAGTGAAAGTTGGTGACCAAAGAGCTCAAGTTCGTCGCAAGACTGAGGAGGCTGTTAGTACCATTTTTATTTAAAACAAAACATTGAAAAGAAATTTTAAATATTATAATAATTTTAATAACTATTTACCATTTCTTTGTAGTAATTTTTTCATTTTTTTTCTTAAAGGCATATAAACCATCGCTCTATATCATTATTTTCACCGCAACATTTGGTATTGTACCTGCTTTGCTTAGCGGATTGGCAAACGTGATACAGTGTAGGGTAAAAATTTTACGATTTGTTTCTGCATAATTGAATAGTAAATGAGTAAACGATTAGCATTTCCGATTACGATAGCTCCATTTGTTGTAGGTACAATTAGAAATTTTTACCAGGGAATTGCCATTTGGCAATAGAAATACGGAATGATGAGCAGTACGACTCGGATTGGCTTGTACGAAACATTAAGATGCAGAAAAATGCAGTCATACCTACCACCCGATCATTTCTGTTCCATTTGCTAACATCTTTATCAGTGAAAAGATAAGAAATATCAGCAAACTAATATTTTGACTATTTATTAAGATATGGCAATTATTTTTTTCAGAATTTTCGAGAACTTGATTTCATCATTCGTTTTTGCACATCACTTAATATCCTGGCTCATTCATTTATTTTTGCAATAGCTCATAAAGATTTACGAAAAAGATTAACCGAAATATTCAATAGTAAATCAACGACAAAAATTATTCGATCATCAATACTACCAACAAATAACTCGAAAGCCCATCCTTGATGATAAACCTCTCGTATTCTAGTTTTTCATAATTAGATTATTGAAAAAAATAGCGATAAGCATTTATTTTTTGATTCATAATTGAGGAAGTAGATAGGTAAGGCGATTCATAGTTGTCATTTATGGGAACTTAAAAAAATGAGCATTTCTCATTTACATAGATGCATGAATTACAATAATAATTAGAATTAAATATATTTATAAGCAGCAACCGGCCTTACGCAATTTTCGCGCTTGTTTTGTTTTTTGAACAATTTCTGGTATTTTAATTGTAGTCTTGGATCTTTTCAACTTGTGCTTTTTTACTTGTAGTGGATTGTAATGAAAATATTTGCACAATTCATACGATTCCAGTAATTTTCGGAAAGAAGGTTCAAAATATTTATCGTTTGTCACTATATTTATTTTTTTTTGAAAAATATTGAAATATTTTCGAAAATGTTTTTTTTTTTCAATCGGCAAAAATGTTTCATCAATTAACGATGGAAAATGCACCACCAACTGGTAATTGCATCATCATGTTTGCAATAAAATTAAAGTTTTCTAGGTGTAAGTCGCAAAACCCAATCTCATTTGTTAGTGATTCCTCTAAATCGGCTTTATTAATTCCACTTAATATTTCATTAGAAAATACGACATTCGGTATTTTTCTGATGTTATACTTGAGTATCATCCAATACCACAATTTTAGTATAATTTACAAACTCTTCATCATACGGCAAGTGTTGTTTTCATTGTGCTTCATATCTTTCTTCTACCGCTTCTTTGGTACCAAAAAAATGGTCATTCATCTTATTCCCTTGTCAATTAATACTTTTTTTTAAAAGATTGTCTTCAGCAGAATTATTAAAATATCATTATTATGAAATGAATTTAGATTTTGAAAATTTAACCATTAGATTCGTTTTTTTATGTTGCTGCAAAAATGAAAAAAATTCGAAAAAGCACAAAGCACAAAGTTTTTCAATTCCCAATTGATCCTCTCGCAAAACTCTGGTCTCACGCAAATATCCAGTAAAACATGTTAAAAAATGGTGGATTAACTAGAAAAAAAGGAATATACAATATGATTCAAATAATAGATGAAGAGTAGAATGGCTCAGTGGGTTGTTGCTCAATTCGATTTTTGCTGAGGTTCTACCTCTCACAATATGGAGTAAACCTCTCAAAAATGCTGGTGACTCACCTGCACTTCTATTGCCAAGGGACTTCCATATTTGTCTGGTGTGGCAAGCCAATGGAGAAAATCTAACCAGCAATAGTGAGGGCTCTTTAAAAAAAATAATTTGAAAAATAATTTAAATATTCTATTAAATTAATGATAAATAATAAATAAATTTAAATAATTGTAAAATTGCTTTTTCGATTCTATTAATTTTATTTCTGGTCATACGACTTCATTCGATTTTTATTTTTAACGCCCATATGTCAACAAAAAAGGAAATATGAAACAAACTATCTTCTTATTTGGTAAACCAGGTGTGAGCTATTCTATTGTTTCAAGTATAAATGATGGCAGTTTCATTTCTTAGATCCACTCTGAAGTCATTTTAGGTAGCCATCTGATGTGCTTAATTGGCCGTTCATAATAGATAACCCTACTGAGGTCAATTAAGTTATTTAATATTTAGGTAATTTTAGCTTTATCAAATTCATTCGATCAGCTAAAATCAGGCTTTTAGACCGAAATTTTTTCGGTTCAAATATTGCAAAGTTTAGGTCAAATTTATAATTTTTTTCAGTTCACAACTTATGCAAATAAGTTTTAAGCCAATTAAAAAATGAAATGTCTAAAGTTAAAATTTGAAAGAAATTCTTTTTTGCTTATAAATGTGAAGGAAAACATGAATAAATATGAAAATAATGGACCGATAATTAGTTCATTATATTAATATCATAAAAAAGGCTTTAGTAGCCCCGCGGTGATTTGAACCCATCTATTTAGTTTCTTCTATTATTTCACGCTTTTCATTCTCAATAATCGTACCTTAAACAAATAAAAGTCAAAAGTCAAAAAAATACCGACAAATTAATGCTTACTAAGTTGTAGTATATAATGTCTTAGAAAATTCTTATCAAACATTGAAGTTTCGCAATTTACGAAAAATTATAAAGGGTCAAATTTCTATATAAACTTTCCTAGTCGGTTCCTTGAAAGAACAATGAATATTCTATTGGCTTAACAGCTGGCGGATTTTTCCTTAGGAATATTTTTAAATTACCTCTTTATCCTAGGCAATTCTACGATAATTTTACGGTTAATTTTCGAATTTTCCTTAAGAAAGTGAAAAATGAAAGGCTTAAGTTTTGTTAGACGAAATATTATATTATATTATATTGTAGGATTTAAGAAATGCAATTTACAAAAAAAATGAGTGCTGTGCTTTTCGACATTGTTTATTAAATAAACAATATGAAAGACTACCAAAATCAATTGCCTCTAATTTAATTCGCAATTCTTATTGCAGCGATTTATTAAAAAACATTAAAAAATGTAAATTAAACGCAAAGAAAGTTGATGGAACAAAACTTATTAATTTTTTATAGAACTGATGGCATAGTCGTAAAATCAGATTATACCTTTGAAATTCAAAAAAAATTGATAAAGATTTCTTCGCATTTAAAAGATTTTGAAGTTAGAATATTAGCAAAGTTTTCCATTATAGAGTTAAAGTATAAGGTAACTGCGAAGAAGAATTGATGTCTTGATCAGAGTTGTATGAGATGCTGGAATTTGGCTGTGGGACGCGAACTTCTTGGCTATTATCCTCTTTAAGTACTTCAGAAAGTGCATATATATAATTATTCGCCATTCGTAAGGTTTCTAAATAAAATAAAAACTTAGTAAATTTTGCTATATAAGTTATATATTTAGTATATTTCGAAAATTGTACTGGAGTCATCTTCTAATAACTATTTCTGGTATTGTATCGTTAAAATAATACTTACGCTTACGATCTCACTAACTATAGAAAGCACTGCTTTAAAAAACAAAAAATCTCAAAAATATGAAATCCAAATTAAAAAACAAACCGATTTTTGTTAGCTTAGGTTCATCCGGAAGTTTTGGAAGTGTTTTACGGAGTTCTTCGAGGGCAGCATTTAAATTATGCATTCTACGCCTTTCGCGCGCATTTGCCTTACACCTTCTAATTTTCTTAGATCTTAAAATAGTTTCTGGGCTCCTTATACGACAGCGGTACTTTCTTTTAGCCTTTTTAGCCCCATTTTTGTATTCTCGATTGAATTCGATTTTCGTCTGCTGCTGCTGGAACCGAAAAATGAACTATATTAATGAAATGAAAAAAACGCATATGCTTATGATGCTTATCAATAAAACTGATATTTTTGCCAATTAAATAATTTCTTTCTTTCCTTAAAATTTTTGTCTATACCTATAAAATAAAAAATATTCTGTTTTTAGAATTTACTTCATTTGGCAACAATGAATTAGAAATATAAGGTGAACATACACACATAAACAAAGAAAAATTTACTATCCAACTGTGAAAATGAATTTTGCATACTCTCGGCTTTTTAAAATCTCGAGTTGAATCTTTTTCAGATTGCCTGTTAAATATTTCATATTAAATATTACCTGAATACAAACAGATGTAGACGGATGATCGCAATAAGACAACCCCGTTCTTTCAGCCATATTTGTACAACTAATCCAACAAATCTTACATAATCTTGGCTGAAGAATGTAGAAAGGCGGTACGCAAAATATCCGTTACAGTATTATAAAATGGTATCTTCTCATTATCTTATGTCCTCCCATCTTAATCATCCATGAATTATATGCCTCGGCAGATCAATTGTTCATATCGTCTTCCTTAACTATAGTATATCAAATATTCTTTGGATTGCCTGGATTGAATAGACAGAAGAATGGTCAGATTGTATGAACGATGAGAATAAAATTTCCGAAAAATTATTTTTTGACGAATTAGAGCTGCGTAAATGCAAAAAAAGACTATAACTCAAAAATCAGATAAAAATTGGATTGCCAAGAACGATAGATTTATTTCTTATAATTTTTTAAAATTTTCATTTTTTTAAAAATTTTTTGCGTAATTTTTGTTTATCTATTATTATTTTCACTTTTGGTAAATTTCCTACGAATTGAAATTTAGAAATAGTAGTTTTAACAAGTTATAGCTTATGGAATATCAGTGAAACTGATTCAGGAATCAGATTTTTTAAGAAAGCTGCTTTGTTTGAGATAGAAAATTTTATCGATTTTATATTTATAAAGAAAGACTTTGAAGGCTAACTTAAAAAATAAAAAAAAATAACAAGAGGTTTTGCTTATATAAGATCTTTGCTTATGAGCTAATCTTTGCTTCCTTACTGAAACTCTTTGGGATTTTATAATATTATAACATATTATATAATATGTCTAAAAAAAACTGTGCTATTAAAATTTCCTCGATGAAATAATCAAGAAATGTTTCTGAATCGTAGTGAGAAGTTAGGACCTAATGGATATGATCTATTGCAGCAGCTGGAACCTATTAAACAATTAACTTTCCGTTTATGCTTTCTATTGCCTTTGAGACACATTATTTTAACTGCTATGAGATAAAATCATACTTCTAAATAATCCAAATGAAACCAGAATGCTTCCTGAATAAAGTGATTTATATGATTTTTTTTGGGATTTTCCAAGCACAATTAGTGATTAATGACTTTCAATTTCCAGTTTATGCTTTTGTCACTCTTTAATGAGCGAATTTTATTCATTCATTTTAATCCTAATCATTAGTACAAAAACTTGCCTGTGTAACAAATTCAAAATTGGAACTTCAATAAAATTCCAGTTGGAAAGTTTCAGATAAAATTTGCTAATGCTTTACTTTCGAAGTAAATCTTTCTTTCATTGGCTTTATAGATTTCCACAGGGTTCGGGCATATTTTCTGAATGGAATAATAGTTCTTTGAAAGCTTAAAGGATTCATAAAATATTTTACATGTCTGAAGCAAGTAAACAACATATGACTTATGAATGAATTCAAATGAAAATCCAATTTTTTTTACCATCGAGTCATTACGAGAAAGACTCGAAGTCTTGAATTAATCTAATTATAATGTACACAGTATCTTAAGTGTTGGATGCTGCAGATGTACCAAATGAAAGGACAATTTAGAATGGTGGTAATTTGATGAGATAAATGGATTATGTGCTGATCGTTCGTTGGACGGTCAATTTTCAGGTGCTTTAAAACAAATGACCACATCCACCTTCTTTATAATTGCGCAAGATTCGATCCCTAATTTTTATCTTAAAAAATCCTCACTTTTAATTTCCCTTTATCATATGCAAAGTTCTTCTGGCACAATATTTTTTGCAACAAAAGAAATATTTAAAATATTTTGCTTCTTTTAGGACAATGAAATATGAATAAAAAATTCACAAAAGAAAGGTGATGCTCTATGAAATTTAGGCACCAACTTTTGGAAAACAATATCAGTAGGATTCTTACTTATTCTTTTCACATTTCCTATTTCTATGCAAGTATTTAATTTAATCCTTTCTTGCACCAGTATGTATTCCCATAAATTGTTGTTTTTCAATTGCAAATGTCGCTTTCCCTGTAAATAATGCATTTGTATTTTTTGTTAATAAGATTCATCTTAACTTATGGCTAAATTCGTTGAACACCTAGAATATTGCTGGACTGCCTTATCTAATAAACGAGCATCTAAAATTTTTAATGACATTATTTAACATCTCTTGAATCGAGAAAGAGCCAAATTGCAGAAAAAAAGAAAAAACAAGAGATTAAAGAAAAGTAGAAATAATAAATGATATTTAGCACATCGCCTAATCTATTTATTAGGCAAATTAATAAAAATAATTATGATAATAACGTATAATTATATGCCAAGTACAATGAGTCGGGAATAATGATGTAAGATGTATATCTCAGATTTGTCGCATTACCAATCCGTTTTATGTTTAATGTTAATATTATTATGATGATTTCTTTTGTTAATGCGGTTAAACTTTTGTTTTCTGGATTGAAGTACCATTAATGCCAATCGAATCTTGGCCAAGCTTCGAGCGACAATGGTAAGCTCATTTACAATAGTATTACTATTTTAAAAGGTTTCTTAAAACAATAAAAATGTAATGAAATAATGTGCAGTATTCCCTATGGATAGGTTAAAAGATTTAGTTGAAATAACCAAATAAATCTGAAAATTATCAAAAGATAATTTAAAAAAAAGGAAATCAAACCATCATGGTCGACTGTAATTGTTTTCCCTGTGCATTGATTAAGCTCCAATTCACCCGACCAAACATCGCAATAATCACCTGGAGGTAACTTGGTATCCACTGTTCTGAAACAAATTTTAGGACAAAGGATTGGATTGCCATGAAATCTCTTTAGGAAATTATAACTCACATTTGCCATATATTGTCACCATTGTTTAGCGCGAAATATCCTTTGCCAGTTCGAGCAAAAGCTAAACGGTGCTTATCAACAGTGAAGTCACTTGTGTTCGAGTCATAAGCCGCCATTCTAAAAAGAGTCATAGCACGAATTGCTTGCCAGCGATGTTCACAGACCCAGCCTGATTTCCATTTGCAAGATTTGTCTGATTTTATTATTGGACTTTTCGTCTAGAAAGAATAGAATTTTAATTCACTGAATCGTTGAATTATCAATCATTTAGGTTCTTTAAAACAAATAGGGGCCATCTATCGTGCCTCAATTTTATAAAATTTCACTCGACTCTTTTCGCTTATCTCTTCCTTTTTCTCCTCTGTTTTACAATAAGCATTGTTTTATTTTGGTTCTAATAACTAAATCATCGGCCAAAGAGGCGATTAAAAATTGTCAACTGAATTCATGGCCTCATTTGAATTTAAAGTTTTTTATCAACAAGAGATAAGCGTAAAGCGATAAATAACTTATATAAATGTTGCATTTAACGTATATTAATAAAAGAATCTCAGCTAGAGCCATTATCAGGAAGAAAAACCATATAACGTAAACATTATGAAGTTGAAGTTCTTTCAACTTTCAATGTTAAATTAATCAAAAAGCAATATATAGGATGATTTTTTTTCTTACAATAATGATAAGGATTACAAACTTCATAGTTCCTCGATTGTCCGTAATTTGGAGGCCCCTGATCTAGGGTCTCAAAAACATAACTGCTCATGATCCTAGGTAAGCCATAATTCCAAGCCAGCATGAATCCGACGCATAGAGCATATTGGTCTCTTTCTTTATAGTTGAGGACGTAAGGATTTAATTCTCGCTGATTGTCATGATTATCGATAAAAACCAAGACATCATGACTAGCCAGATTGCCATAGCCATATCCAGCACCAAACTGCACCAAATCACTAATATTGCGATGGTATTAAAATTCAAATTTTTAAGACCCTTATCTTTAATATGGCCTTTTATATTCCACTGAAATAACCTCCAATCCATTTGACGTCGAGCAGCCTGTGCAATTATTTTCCCATAGTTCATATCAGTATAACGCCCGATAGTTATATATTCGTCGCACCTAATAGCTTCACCACCGAGGTCAATAACTTCATGAACTGCGAATGGTCTCTTATTTGGTCCATAAATCTTAAATAGATAAAGCATTAAAATATCTTTTACTTTTTTTTTGGATATTTTGGGTAAGAATCTTACATTGTTTTTTATATTCTTCGTTCTTTTAAGTATGATTTCCAAATCACCTGGCCACATGTGTTTCGATGCATCAATACTGAAATAAATTCCCTGAGCTCCCATGAAATGGAAGAAAGAAACAGATTCGGATTTGTATTTTCCTGAGGCTTCGCACTTTTATGAAAAAACTGTTTCGAATAATTTTAAGCCAAATAACATTTTCCTTATTATTTTGAGTCTAATTTTGAGTTTATAAACATTATTTATAACCGAAAGCCAGCAACGCCAATGTTGAGAAGATGGTCCAAATAATCGACAATAACAGAACGGACATGTTCATTTGCTTGATTCAGATCAAGGAGTCCCTTAAGGCGACAATTTTTCACCTAAAGCATTCCATCATGAATCAAAAGTGGTTCTACTAAATACTGTGCGGCATATGGTTTAAAATAGTTTAAGTCTGAAGCTGGAAATTTGTCAGTAGTTTTTAATGAATCGGCATCTACACTTTCAACACTTGTTCTGTATTCATATTCCTTAATACTTCGATTACACCGTCGATTATTGAAATGAATTTTATCGTATCCTGCGGCCGGATAATTTTGGACATCTGGTGTGCTATCGAAATAGGACCCAGAGCTTGAAGAAACACCATCGCTTCCTTGTTTCATTCCAATTCCAGTCATATGATTAAATACAACATCAACAATTATTCTGAATAGTTTCACCATTAAATGCAAGCCATGAAAAAAAAAATCAAGCAAACGAAACTGTCAAAACTAATTAGTTTAAACTATTTAATAAGAAATTGGATAAAAACCTGATTCCGACTTTATTGCAACGCTCTACCATTTCAATGAATTGTGTTTCATTACCACTTCTACTTTCGAGTTTATAGCTAACTGGTTGATATCGAACCCACCATGGCATATCATTATTTTTAGATAAAGTTATATGTTCCATTGGGGGAGACACCTAAAAATTTAGGTTTGACTTCTTTTAAAATCCATCTGAAATCCAATTTGAAAATTTAAAGATCTACAGCATTTGCTACAGTATTTACAGTATAAAACATCCCTTTCCAAATTCTTTGTTACAAGTGAATGAATTCAAAAATATTTAGGATATTTAGAAATAATAAGCTAACAAAATATGTTTAATTTTCCCTTCGAACGAGAAAAATCGGATAGTATGTAAAGATTATAGGAAAAAGTATAAACTTGAATAGCTCCATATCCATAATATTGCAAAAAATCTTCACATTCTTTAGCAATATCTAGCCATTTCCACTCAAATAAATGAACAATTATTTGCTTATTAGATAAAGTATTTGGATAATCATACCTATAGAAGACAATTAAATTAAAACTGCGAAATGTTTAACTGATTATTTATGAATATACAGTAATATAAGTGAAATGTTTTTTAGTTCGAATGATATTGGTAATTGTCAGCTATTGGACCTAAGGCAAGTTAGAATCACTGCGAGTTCATACACTCCTCTGTCGTTCTGGTCCTTTCGCGGTTTTTTTTATCTTAATTCCCTTTCTACCTCATCACTGGCTTTTTTCTCATCGCGCTATTTTTTTTACCAATTTGACCAACAGAAAGGAACCATTACTTTCACTTCCTGTTGGAGTCACTAAAAATTTTTTATCTTATAATCTCCCTCATTTATTCTCTTTCTAGATTCTATCATCCAATAAGTGAATACCATTGTGGATCGCACAGCTTATAAATACTCTGATGTTTATTGGAAGATATTTAGATAGCGCGCTTCTCAATAATTCATCCATATTTCAGTAATTTATCTTTGCTATAAAAATTCAAAACAATTTTTAAATATTCCAAGTTTATTGATTATAGTTTATTGTTTTTTAAATATCTACAATAAAATTCTTGTTTCTTCTTCTTCTTCTTCTAACAGCTCTCACCATTACTGGTTAGGCTGGCTCCAACGGCTACAAGGGTAAGACGCTTCCAAGCTGGCTGCAACTTCTACAAGGGTAAGACGCTGTTAATAAAAACTCACCTTTTTTCTACCATGAAAGTCCATATATCTCTCTCTATACATTCAAAATATTTTCTAAGTGCATCAATGCATCTTGGCTTTTGATGAGATTCATCATGGGATTTATCAAATAAAATATCAACTGTTATTTCAATTGTTATGGTGGATGACGAAGAACTTGCCCTAATTAACACAGCGACTAGGATAGGACTATTAATACAAGTGCTATTTAAACGAAGGTGGATGCAATCATAT